TTATATACCAATAGCAGCTGACGATTGACAGTAAAGAGAATAACAAATACAGTTGTAAAAGTAGTTAAAAGGAAGTTTTCATAAATATCATATAATCGTTCCTTATTTGGTCATTTTTATCGTCCGGTCGCTCGGACGTATGGGGGTCACGTGACATCGTGGTCCCTCGTCGATGACCTTCGGACGACGAAAGTCACCCTCGCTAACTACGCAGTTAGTGTGAAAATAAAAAATAGCGTCCGCATTCTCACTATATATATATATATAAATTACGTGCCTATATATTTATATATATATAGGCACGTAAACAAAGCATTCATAGAACTAGTACATTTTGAAGGAAAATAGTACATTTTTTGAAGGCGCTTCAGTACGTTTTGAAATTTTATTGCGGCAACACTGCCAGCTGTGTAAACAATGACTCATCAGTGTCAAAGGAAAATAAAATTTGAGGCTTTTTCTTCAAAATTAAAACTGAAAAGAAACGAAAGAAATGCGTTAAGTATTTTTTACGTTTAATTAAATTAATATAAAAAATGTCAATGTCCTTAAGGGGTTAATTAAATTAACATTAAAATAGCGAGATCATCCATCAATACAGAAATGTATCATAAACCAACCGCTCAACCTTTGTATATACCTGCAACATCATGTGACCCACCACAGTATAAGATGGCAGCATTCAACACCGTAATCAAAAGAGCATATTCACATTTCTTCTCACAATCAGCTTTCAATTCTGAAATGCGACGCATAGAGCAAATAGCTAAACAACATGGCTATCACAACATCTTATGCAAGATAAACAACAAGGTACTCCAACAACAATCCAACAACACCTTTCATTCCAATGATTCCCTGGTTAAGTACATACCAATCACGTACAACCCGGCACTTAACGCCATATACAACCATATAGCCAAGAAAAAGAATGTCCGCTTGGCATTTATGAGGTGCGCCACAATATTCGATTGGCTTAGAAACGGAAAAGATACTCCAGACAGCAACAGACTTCCGGGAGTATACTCTGTGCCCATAATCGATCATAGAGACAACAGCGAAATGATCTATATCGGGTCACTAAACGCAACTTAGTAACTAGAATCAAGTAACACAAAGCGAACACCCAACATCATAGGAACAACACCGCCTTAGCGGTATATTATTCTGTCCCAGAAACAGAGCCGCTATTCCCTCTAGCCAGAATTATTCACACCACGTTCAGCACACAACACCCCAGATGGCTAGAGGCCTTATACATTTGCCTTAACACCCTCAGGAATAAGCACTGCATTCACTTCAAACAAGAAATGAAGATATCAACAGCATGGGAAGCCTTCCGTAATATAACTCTAAAGTAACAACATACGGATAATGCGCAAGTCTACAATGACGCCATCGGTCACACGTGACAACGTTCCAGAAAGATTTTTCAAAACAACGGTTAAATCTTGACTGGAAATTCGAATTCATATAGGGAATTTCATAGTGCTTGAAAAAGAAGCACATTAGGTTCGAAAACGTTTGTAAAGTCCTCTGTATTGGAGAAGAAGAACGCCGGTTACAAGCAGTGAAGTTGGGTAATTTATCAACTCTGGTGTTCAAATTTCTGTATAGTATTTCGAATTTTTGCATGTTTAGTGACTGGTTTGTTGGGAAACTGAAATAAGAAATCATTGTATATATGAAAGTAATAATAATAAAGGTTGGTTTATAAGTTTTTCCCAAAAGCTGTATATTTATTACACCTCAAAGTAGCAGGATAGAATGTAAATAAAATTCCATTAAAGATTTTTACACACGGCTCTCTCCCTATAAGAGGAAGGATAGCTTCATTTAAATTTTATGAAAATAAAACCCTCTTTCCTCTTATAGTGCAGTGCCACGCTACAAAGAGATTAGGCAAGTAAGTTCAATTTACCATTGTGTGTACAGTATATAAATTAGGTACTGTAAGTCTAATACAGTACTGTAATATTATACATTTTTTGTGAAAAAACATTTCTTATTCAAAGGCCATAAAAATTATCTCTATTAATGATGTCTCTAAAGTTCATCGAATTTTTAGCAGAAAAATAACTTATCAGAAAAGGCGCCCGCCGTTTGCTGCGCTACTCCGCGACGATAACAAGCTTAATTAACAATGGCGTCGTCGAACGGTGCAAAGTCGGTAAGTAATACTATAATTTTTTGTATAGCATAGTTTATATGAATTATTCACAAAAAATTATATGTATTTTGGAAATGTTGAGTCAAATTAGTCAAGAATCAATTAATTTTTTGGAAGAAAATATTTTAAACCGCCGTAGTTCGTAAACTTCATACGTGCCGGGCTGTGATTGGCTCATGTATTTAAGGATTCGTTCAACATGAATTTCATAAAAAACGGAACGTATCTACCGTGTTTTAGGGGGGTCGAGTGTACTTAATAAAAAGTCTATAGACTGGATACGTTATTTTATTGATACCTGTAATAATTATGGTATTAATCTTATTAATAATGATATGGATTTAATTGGCTGGTCTCTTGTTCTCGTTAATACGAATTTAATCACAAACAAATTAGAGAAGATGCAAAGATTCTAATTTTTGTCGCGCGAGAGAGAGAGTTCACATAACGATCGCGAGTTGAATAAATACCTGATGATGGAAGAATTTATCCTGATGGAGCTCTCGTTGATTGATACAGCAGTTCACTTGGTGATTTGTTCGGAAATAGTATCCACTAGCGGTCACTGACACAACGTCGATTGATATCAGAAGAAAAGGTGACCAAATAGGCAATCATCATGATTATTCCGAAGGATTAGTTTTCTCGTGTTGACGATATTCCGGAAGGGATCGGTTATGATTTTCTTGATCGGATGGACTGACGACGACTGAGTTTTTCGGCCATCTCTAGCGATATCCACAGACGACATCGGCCATTCAGAGTTGAAAAGATCACGAGAAAGTCGGCTTGCCTTTGAAAACCGGTAACAGAAGAGTTTTTCACTGAGCTACTAACAACAATTCTTACGTAACTTGAATAAAATCAATATTAAGACCATATTTTGATATATGAAATTACCTCACAATAATTTAGTATATTGTTATTTTTATTTGTAATAGGAATTTATTAATTTTTTATTTTACCATGGAATGACACCGAGCGCATTCCCAGTTACCTGCATTGGGCCTCTTGACTGTTTTTTTTTATTATNGAATTTATTAATTTATTATTTTACCATGGAATGACACCGAGCACGTGCCTCGATACCTGATTGCGCCTTTTAACTGGTTTCTATTATAAATTCGACATTAGATATATATATTACTTGTAATTTTTTAAATATTTTTGTTTGTCTGTTCTCTTTTTTATGATATAAAAAATAAGTTTATTAAAATTAACACGTGGTTAATTTAATAAGGCAGAGTGGGTCCGTGTCTGACCCTGGGCCATCGGTTTGCCACCACTGGCCTGGAGAGTTCTACTGCAAGCAAGACTGACATATATCAACGGAATTCATCAACCACGTAAAGTCTGTTTTAGTTCCCGAAAAAACCCAAATCACAGAAAAGATTTCTATGATGAACACAGTGGATGCTCAAAAGCTCCAACGCCATTTCTGCAGCAATGCTCTTATCATACTAGCAATATGGTCATCGAGCATGGCCTCATATAAAACTCGGCGTTACTTGTTGAAGTTCAGGTGTGTTCAGGCAATGCGCAAATTGTAATTGATGTTCAGGAAGCTTGACGTAAGTGGTCGATATCCGTACACAGGTGCTACTTTATGAAATTTATCTACTTTAACGTTCATTAATCGAGGAAATAATGGCAAATCCTAGAACAGAAGGGAAAAAAATCCTAAAAGACTTAAACGCCTAACTTAAGCAAAGATAAAGATAATAAGTACATTTTTTACATTTTTTTGCAGACAGTATTTTTATTCTAATCAAGAAATTTCACTTCGTAAATCCGTATAAACAATTTGAAAACAAAGCAAGTTTGCTGCTTTAAATTTTACTTTAGTGTTTTCATTTTTGTTTTCACTATGGCTTATAGGTTTCTAGTAGAGAACATCACATCTATTTATACTTTTGAATTTTGTACTCGTAATTCTGTGCTAAAACTTGTATTTCATTTACGGAATACAATTTTTTCTCCTATAATATATAATATCGTGTTAAAATTTCGGACTTTTTCTTCGGCAATTGTATACATTTCATATGAAAGGCGAGTAGGCTTTTTCGAACGATCTGCCATATAATCATAGTATTTCTGTTAATAAGAGTTATATATTAATTATTCAAATATTTTAAATACTTTTATTAAATGTGGATTCGCGTAATTTTCATTCTGTAGCATATCAGAAAAATACCAAAATGAAATACAAATATTTTGTATCCAACACATCATTTACTGAATCATCTATGTTCGGCTCATTTTATACAATACAGATAAATACGAACAACAGAGCGTTAGAAACAGTTTAATTTGCGTAAACTTAAATGCCAGAAATTATCAATGTGATATAATAAATAAAATGCAATAAACAGTGAAAATTAGTATTATTGTAATCCAGATTGAATAAAAATAATCACAATACATTTTATACTCATACTTTTTATTTATAAAAATATGACTTACAATTAAGGAGTAAAGTTCAATAATACGTAGAATTATTTCGATACAGTTTTTAAATGCACTCGTATAGATTTTATGATATGAACCTATGTTTATATATATTTGTAATAAAAACTATCCCAACGATCAGGTTATTTCATATCTTACGACTTACATCTTTTTTCTACACACATTCTTATACCTGATATTGGAGTCAAAATAACTTCCGCAGAAGTAACGATCTTATCTTGAGGATCTAAAGAGTAAACTTTAAAATTACGAAGAACATTTGCCAAAACCATTTTCGTTGTAATCATTGCACCTTTACCTCCTATAAATTCGAATAATTTTAATAAAATCATTTTTTTTGTATTTATTTACTAATCACTTACCGAAACAATTTCGTGGCCCGGCAGAAAATGCCAGAAATGCATAAGGATGAAGATTTTTATAGTTTTCGGGTAGGAAACGGTCTGGATCGAACACTTCGGGATTTTCGTAAACGGAAGGATTGTGATGAATACCATAGATATTTATGACAAGACTCGAATTTGCAGGTAACACGTAATTACCTATTTCAATGACAACGATTTGATGCTTCAAGTCAATAACTAATATAAAATCTTATTTTTAGTTAATAAATTCCAAAATATAAAAAATTACCTATTTTCATTTCTGAAGGATTTTTTCTTGCAATAAAAGGAATTGGAGGATAGATTCTCATCGACTCCTGAAAATTGTAACATATAAGGCTAATCCTTGAATGTATTAAAAAAATGAAGAATTTACCTTAATTACGCATTCTATGTACGTCATTTTCGTCAGGTCATCAATAGTAATATCTCTATTCATATCATTTTCGAAAATTTCTTGCAATTCTAGATACACATTCTCTTGTATTTCGTGGAATTTTCCCAAAAAATAAAGAGTCCATGACATGGCGTGGGCAGTTGAGTCGTGACCCTTATATTAAAATACGTTAAAATAAAATGTAAAATTACTTTCTATATAATTTACATTTGCAGTAAATTAAATAATATATAATAAACTTGTAAAATTACGATATGAAATGCACGAATACCACGCTTCTTTCATATTCATGTCATACCGTGTTTCCCCGAAAATAAGACAGTGTCTTATATTAATTTTTGCTCTAAAAAATGCACTAGGTCTTATTTTCAGGGGATGTCTTATATTTCCATGAAGACGAATTCACATTTATTGTTGAACAATACGCTAAACAGGTTCGAGAGAACACCTTGCGACACATTCAACTTAACCTTTTTATAGTGTCCACATCGAGCTCGATGACCAATTAGTGCTTACTGAACCGTAGCACTATGCAAATGTGATGTGGCGTGATTCCCAGCCGACCAATTAGCGATCACCAGCGATAACATTATGCAAATCTGTGATTCCCAAGCCATAGTCTTATGCAAATCATGCCGTGTGGCGTAATTGTCTGCTGACCAATCAGTGGCTGTACTTTCAACCATCTGTCGATGACCGTTACGACTAAAAAAAACTTCGCTAGGTCTTACTTTCAGGGGGAGGTCTTATATTTCGCAATTCAGCAAAATCTGTGCTAGGTCTTACTTTCTGCGGATGTCTTATTTTCGGGGAAACACGGTACCAATTTATAACCCACAACCACATTTCTTGCAGCAAGCAGTTCATATAGTTTTTCGTAATATTTACGACAAAGTATCAATAATCTGATTTCGAGAGTTTACTGTACAGTACATAGCAGCATAAATGAAAATTCGACGTGAATGGAGAAAGATTACAAAAGTAAAAAATTATTAAAATTTATAAATATTTCATTATAACAATTCTGTTTGTAGTTTTAACACGGTTATACGTGTTATACGTGTACAGCTTTGCAAACAAAGTTTCACTTCCTCAATGAAACTAAAAATTATTTTCTCTCACATTCGATATTATCAGATTAATTCTATGAACAAAATGTCTTCGATCGTAGAACGAAATAAAGGTTAAATTGTTCACAAACTGTGTCATTAGTCGAAAGAAAAACTCTATACACATCTTGAATTGTTTTGACTTACGACAATCCGATACATGTCGTAATGTAACGAAGTATATTTACATTTTCGGTTATTATGGACTTAAATAATTTCAGATTACAAAATATTTCGGTCATCATTTCAGACATTACTTGCTTTGAATACTTTCAATTGTGTTTATAAAAAAAATTCATTAATTAATACTCGAAAAAATAATTTGATAACTGATAATAACCCACAAAAGTGAGTCATATATATACAAATTCGCTCTTTTACATAATTATTAGAGAAACCGCATTCGATATGAAGTAGAAATAGTAAGGTACGACCATCTTTTTCCACCAGAATTTCGTGCTTTAAAAATACATAATAATAATCATAATAATAATGTTTAAAAATCAGTAGATACACATTTTTAATTTTTTAAAATTATATCTTTCCTGTGTGTATATAANCATGTTTACTATATAATGGGCTATGGTTGTTGATGTTTAGAAGTAATATGTGTGAACACAAGTTTGGAAAAATATGTGATCACAAGTGACACTAAGATGCTAGCAGAATGAGTGCTAAACACAGACTGATGGAGCATGCGCACAATTTGGAACTTTCCATCTCCTTGTCACTCGTTATGTGAAACATTGCTCATTAAGTGAGGCAATTTTTTACAATTTGTTTTGCTCATTATGCGAGGTTGCACTGTAATTAATAATGTGTGTATACATTATTAATAGTGTTGTGTTATTATATATGTAAATGGTCATGATGATATTGATCTACAACTACAGTAGTGGTAAAAGTAGAGCTACCCTTGACATATGTTTTAAAAATGCAACCTCTATTTTGTTGACTATCTACTACATAATTAATATTGTGATAGTTGAAAAGAGCACAAAAATAGAGTCAAAATGCTCAATTGAATCAAACAGATTTTATTTTGAATCTGATTTACAAAAGAAAAAACAAAGTTTTTATATAACATACAAATAACACCTTATCCTTGCCGAGAAAGTTTTTATATTTTACACGGTGACAAAAGTAGAGCTACCAATGGAAGTATGCAGATTTGTCCAGTATTTTTAAGACAAAATATTAGTATTGATATTTTGTGGCATAACTGGAACTTCTGATCACTGCATCACATCACACTGAGATTTTCCAATCAGTGCTTGACAACTAAGTTGTCAAGCACTGATTGGAAAATCTCATACAATGCTTTTTGGATGGCAGAACAAAAGTCATCTGGATTTGAATATGTTTGCTGGTGTATATGGTGCTCAACTTCATCCTAAAGATTCTCTATGGGGTTTAGGTCTGGCAATTGGGATAGACATGTCATAAGATTAATCTTTTTCTGTTGAAACCATTGCTTTACCAAATTTGCTGTTTTGGGTTGTTGTCCTGTTGGAAGATCCATCCCCTTGGCATTGAACAACGTGCATGAGGAAGCATTTGATTCTGCAATATATCCCAATAAACGGTTTGATCCATTATTCCATTAATTCTATGAATTGGATTAATTCTCTTATGCAGAGAAACATTCCCATACCATTATGCAGCCACTACCATGCTTTATTGTAGGAACTGTGTATTTTGGGTCATATCTTATTTTCTGACATCATATTCCATCACTAGAGAAGACATTGAATTTAGATTCACACCTTGGACCATTTTTTTTTTGGTCCAAGTGAGGTATTCACATGCAAACTCTAATCTCAGCTTTTTGTTTTTTGTAGAGATGAGTGGTTTCTTTGCTAGCGTCCCCCACATAATTCAAAACTAGTCAAACGTCTTCGTACAGTCCTTAAGCTTCTGAGTTACCCACTTCACATTTAATATGTAAAGCGGTCAAATATGGGTTGGCTGCAAATGATCCCACTGTGTTGTTGTTTCTCGTGGTCTACCTAACTTTTTTACAGAAACAATGGTTCCATATATTTGAAAATGCTTCACCACTTTCGTTACAACAGTTTTATGCACATTAAACATTTTACCAATTTCAGTAAAGGTCTTTTTTCCCTTCAAACACATATCTACTATTTCTTTATTTGATATCATTTGATAATTGTATTCCTTGATGCATTTTGTTACATTTCTTATAAAATCAGTTAATATATATTACTCTTTATCCAACTGATTATGTTTGCATTCTGTTTCATACAACAGTATTGGGAAGTATTGCAAACTAATTTGCAATACTTTCCTTGGTAGCTCTACTTTTGTCACCATGTAAAATATAAAACTTCATTTTTTCTTTTGTAAGATCAGATTTAAAATAAAATCTGTTTGATTCAATTGAGTATTATGACTATTTTTGTGCTCTTTTCAACTATCACAATATTAATTATGTAGTAGGTGGTCAACAAAATAGAGATTGCATTTTTAAAACATATGTCAAGGGTAGCTCTACTTTTGGCCACTATTGTATATTATATTCCTGTAAATTTTTTCATTTCAAAAACAATTAATGCACTCAAGTAAAATATAGACAACCAATGACCAAAGTGATAAGACGTCAGCCTATCACTCTGGGAAACAATTCCTTGGGAATTTTACGTCGGCTGTCTGTCCTACAAGTGTTGAGCCCCTTCCTCACCATCCAGATAACTTCATTATAGATATAATGAGCACTAATGAGGACCTTTTTAGGCCCTCATTAGTGCTCAAAGGACAGAAAAAGAGAAAAATAAAAAAGTATATAATTCCAAATTAGCGTTATAGTTATCACAATGTGATAGAGAGACAATATTTTTATTTGTAAAGATTTGAACAACAATGACATAACTATAGATATAAAATATCTTAAAAAGTATAAATGCTATTGCTTTTAAATAAGATATTTTAAGAAAAAAATCTGATGCTAAATAAAAAATGATTTGTGCACATCTTGTGACGTTTATTAAACTTTTCCAACATGCTCCATAAAAAACATTAACTTTCTCAAGAAATTTAGTAAATCCAATCTGTTGTTAAGATCCATTTAATGTCTCAAAATAAGACAATTATTTTGCAGAATTTAAAAAATACCACATATATTATGATACTCTGAGAGTAAATTATAGGCAATTATTCATATGACTATAGATAATGCTACAATTAAAATATTGACTACATCATATGCAAATTTGTAATTTACTATAGTCATGCTATCAACAAGAATAAAACAAATTAAAGTTTTGTTTTTGTCGCCTTACAAATTATATATTTTGTGCAACAATTTTGATATTCTATACTACTACTAAATGAAATTAAAAATTTTGATCTAGAGATTTGAGAATTGCTCAACCTGCCATTTCTTGTTGCATTTCAAGATGAAGGTTACAAGAGGAATCAATCAATATATAAACAGATTAAATATACCAGATCAAACTCCTTTGACTTGGTAGCATTACCAAATCTGAAAATATACTTGATAAAAGAACCAATTTTTATGTTTTTGTTTCAATTTGAAGTTTCTTAAAAGTTTAGAAATATTATGAACTTTTACTGGCATTAAGCCATGCTAATCACATGGATTCACATTAAAATATGGTCTGCCAGCTAACAGGAATAAAATGTAGTTTAAGAATAAATTTAATTTTCTTTTTGTTGTATCATCTAATGTTATTATGTATAGTATATCAATGATTCAATATCTTGCATAAATTAAAATTTTCACTTAAAAAAAATACCTATAATAATTCAATATAATAAATTTACTTATTATTATTTAAGCAATATATTAACATTTAAAGCTATGGGTATGTATGTAATAAAATTTCTTCAGTAAAATATTAAGAAGCTACCTTGATTTTTCCATCCAGAACACCTTGCACAAAGTTACGAATATTATCTTCACTAAGACCTGATGTGGGAGGCTTAAACTTAGTCATTTCTTCTTCTAACTGTATTAATCGCATGTCTGGTGCATCCTCTTTCTTCAATCCAAAAAATTCCATAATTCTTTCATGATCTTCTTCATCGATGTCAATTGTTACAAATAATACCTAACATGAAGTATTTTAGAATTGATATTTATTGTATATCTTTGCTGTTATTTTGTGATTATAAAAAATTATAAATTAATCAAGGAATTTATAAATTAAACTTACTTTCTTTTTAAAATCTTTAGCAACTTTACGGAACACCTCAACTAATTCATTATATTCAGTTGTTACAAATAATACCTAACATGAAATATTTTAGAATTGATATTTATTGTATATCTTTGCTGTTATTTTGTAATGTTAAAAAATTATAAATTAATCCGAAATTACAAACGTTATTTACTATACTAATTATTTATGAATGAAATGTAATGGTTTCACAAACATCTTAAATACAATTTCTAATTACAAAAAAGTAATTATGATTATTTTTAAAATAGGTTTTACGTTATACTTCAATTATAATTTATGTCGCCGAGTTAACTCTTTGCGGAATTACTTATATTTCAATACATTGTTTAGAAAAAGCATTACTTTAGAATAACGAAAATAATATCATTGAAATACATGCGTACACGATTATATAATTATTTTAGATTACATCTTTAATAAATTCTGCCTACCGCAAAAATAGTCCCTTCCATATCTCTGATAACGTCTTTTTCGGATATTAAACCTTGTTTGACATGAAGATCCAACAATGCATCTATAACACGCTGTTTTGTTTTGATCTTCGGTTCCTCTTCATTATGTGTTTCTTTGTCTAAAGAATGTTGCTGCTGCATTTTTTTTAGAAAAGTTTCTTTTTTCCCTTTAAACAGCTACACATTAAATTAAATAATTCATTACTTAAATCGAAACAACAATTCTATTAACAAGTTGAGTTCACCTTTTCGCCGAATCGATGAATTATTTCAATGTCTCTGTTGTAACTTTTTCCTATTTTAGTCATGGAGAAAATTGGGGAAAGCCAGTACATTGGATTTCCTATCCATTGAGGAAAAATTTTCAGAATTCTAAATTTTAATATAGATTATTATTATATCAAAAGTTAATTAATGCAAATTTAATTCTTCAATAAGAAATACNTATTATATTATTTGTCCTTGTTATTTTGGTCTTCTGTAATTAAATTGTTAATTTTATATTTAATGTCCTTCTTGTCTGGTATTCGTTCTCTATGCACAATCCCACACAGGATCTTACCACTCGGGTCCAGTTCAAAATCAAGCCATCCAGTGACAAAGTGAGCAGGTCTAACTGATCTGACGATTAGAGGGCCTGGACCCTCGTCCGTATTCTCACATATTGGTGTCAGAAGTGGGATTTGTGCAAAAATAGACGAACCTGTCTAAGCTGGACAAACTTGTTATTAAAGGACAAACCTGTGTAACGTGGACAAAGGTCTCATTTGTAGTCTTATCGGCAATAATATCTAAGCAAAGGCCTTAAGGTTAATTTTAAGTTACTTATAAGTAAACATAAGGTTAAAGTAAGACAATGGAGGGAGAACCTTCTAGAGGAGCCCCTTTGGCAGGGAACCCTATAATCTTAGGAGGTTTAGGGGGAATGATTCCATTGCTTCCCGTATTCTCCGGGGATACTAGCGGAATTCGTATTACCGAATTCTTTGATGCGTTAGCTGATGTAAATAGAATAGCTGCATGGACCAAGTCACAGATGTTGGCTGTGACCAGGTTAAAATTAACTGGTATTGCCCGGGAATTTGCTAGAAAAGACAGGAGAATTAAAGATGTAGAAGATTTTGAAACATTTAAAAAGGTGATGATAGAGCGCTTTGAACGAATTCCATATACTTATAGGCTGCAAAAATTCTATGCCTGTGTGCAAGCACCAGATGAGGATGTACAAGCTTACGCTGTCAGATTACAGTCCTTAGCTGCCGAAGTAGAAATCGAGCATGAAGGAGCTAGTGATGCAGAAATAGCAATTATAAAAAGGATCAAGGAAAAAGAATTAGATGAGAGGCTTAGAGTGCAATTTTTAAACGGAATAGACATAAAAATTCGACAAAGGGTCATGTCTAAAGATCCTGGAACTTTTGATGAGGCTCTGCAAGTAGCAATTAGAGAAGAGGAGATTGAGTTGCTGACTTCCCGCAGTAACGTAGTTCGAATTATTGGTGAGTCTGAAAATCCTATAGGGCCGAGACCCAGTAGTCGTAACCCAGGGAGTAGTCGTAACTATAACAGACAATTACCGTTCCGTTATAGCAGAATAGGGCGAGATAAGCCTTTAAAGAAGATAGAAAATATTAGTGAAAGAGGTGAAAGAAAATCGCATTTTCATTATAGGAGGCGAGGTCCGGATGATCAAATTTATCCCAAACAAAGCATTACAAATAGAAATAGTAAGTTTTGGACGGGAAGGGTATCTACTGTCCGAATAAGAAAGGATCCCTACATATTGGTATACGTAATCAATGTTCCCGTGAAAATGAAAGTAGATAATGATATAAAATTTACGGTTATTTCAAAGAACTTGGCGAACCAACTAGGAGAGGGAGCGTCAGTTATAAGAGGGGAAAAGAAGGAATTGGATATTTGTCCAGGGAAGACAGTACGAACTTTAGGTGTTGCTCTGCCGGTGTTTAAACTCAGAGGACATAAGTTTACAAAGGCATGTCGAATAGTGCAGCCAGAGATCCCAGCTCCTTGTATGGGAATAATTGGCCGGGATATGTTAGAACAAGAGAACATAAAAATCGATGGCGAAAATCGAAGAATTATTTTATCTAATGGGAAAGAAGTACATTATTGTTCATCTAATCCTCCCAAGGATAATTTTTCCCAAAAGAAATCGTCAAGAATAAGACAAAAGAGGAGTAAAAGGGGAATCGATGTGAGATATTCTGAGCCCAGTATAGTACGAAGTGTTCGGGTGGTTTCTCTCAGCAACCGCCATAGCAGGAACAAGGCCAGCGCAACAGGGCAGAACCCAAGGGTTGAGAGCAAGACGGATACAAAGGAAGGGTGTAGCAAGGACCAAGAAACTACGAGGAAGAGAAATTGTAGAGACTCTATAGAGATCGTAAACGATGACAAAGTAGTTAGGAGCGAGTATAAATATCGTTCTGGGGTCAAAGAAATATTACAGCAGTTTATACANCAAGATTATATAACGTTGTATTTCTGAAGTCAACTATAGGACGGACGGATTCATCTGCTTTATGGGTTTTAAGTTGTATCTTCATTTTCGGTGTACGATCGTTGTTTTCGCTCAGGATAAATTCTTTTTCATCTTTAGTTAAGCTTTTTAGTTTGTATAGTTTGGTAATTCTATTTTCATATAGTAATAAGTAATAAGTCTAGCAAAAAACATGCCGTCATACAACTCGTAAAATTGAATATAAGTCTAGACAAGAAACGTATTACAGAGGTAGATTGATGCTATTATATTTCCGTAGTTAAGTCGACGTGGTGGGCAGATAAAAGTGGTTGTGTTTATTTCCAGCAGGGTCGAGCTTAATGACGATTTTACTAGTTATTAGTATTTAAAAATTTTATAAAACTTTTCCTCACTTTTAAAATTTAACTTATCCCTATTTTATAACAGCTAAAAGTATGAACTTTTAAAATAAAATATGATAACAGATGGCGCCTCCAAACGCTTCCAGGAATCATAAGAAACTAGTTGCTAGATTCACCATAACACCACGTAGGGCTATGCCATCTTGCAAGCCATCAAATATGTTACCGATAGAACTACCCATGCCGTTCTTTGCACCGATTCCAAATTTATCTACTCCACCTTGAACAACTGCAATAACAAATCTCCTATTATCTTTCACAGCATCCGTAACAAACTACACATCACTACAGCCACGACAAGCACATACATTTCATCTGGACTCCCGCCCACCATGGTATCGACATCAACGAGAAAGCAGACGACCTAACTAATAGCAATCTCCTAAAAACAGTTAACACCAACTTTATAACCCCGGAAAACTCCTAACTGTCATTAACTCCGATCACCTACACAACATGGATGCTATCTGAAGCCACTACCCGAAGCAAAATAACTATCTTTGGTTTAAGGACAGCTCATATACAGTCGACCACCCTACAGCCTAGCTCACGTATTTGTAAAATCTAAGTGACTCGTACAACATGAAATTCATATAAAACGAGATTATCAACATTGTTAGAGGGGGCGAATATAGGGGGGCAAAATACCGAACCAATATAATTATCCTTGGTTTAACGACAGCCCATATACAGGCATAGCCACCATTTTCGTTCGTAATATTAACGTTTTAATCAACCGCGTCAAGACCAACTTTTTACTTACAAATCACTTTCTTTACACTCCAAAAATAAAAAGTAATGATAAATGCAGTTACTGCCCCAACCAGATCTTTATCTTTATAAATAAATCAAAGATAATACGTTTTATTTCTAGGATAACGAAGTTAGTAACACTTCAAAAATAATAATACAAAAATACTCTTAATTTAGATTTGTCTCGGATGTGTTGTAATCATTTAAATTAATTCTTAACAGAGCATTAGAAATTATAATTTTAAGCATAAAAAGTTTGCAGGTAAATTCATTTTCCTCGTTTTAATATTTGTGAATGTTGCACAAAAAACCAAGAAAAATTTACCGAAAGAAAGACTGTTATAAAGTTCTTCTTTGTTAAATTAACGATATTTTAAAACATTTTCTTACCTGCAGATGCAGAGGAAGACGAATAATTTTCCCGTTGTTTCGTTCTGTTACTCCATTTCTTTCCTAATGAATATATCACTAGAAGAGATATAATAAGCAAACTTAAAAGAATTTGAAAAGTCGACAGAAACATGGTTAATACTCTTCTTCCTCTGCACTTTCTAGTGTACGTAATAATTTTCTACGTATATATATATCTGCAAAATAATAACTCTGGAAAAATGCCAATTACACTCAAAGTTTTTATGACACGTATTCGACACCTGCCAAGTTTTGACGTCAAAATCGCCATGCAGTAAAAATTGGGGGCGCTGTGAGGATTTTGTTATCGCGGGTCTATAATTTAACCTAGTGTGATAATCCGGAGGGATTCTCAAATCAATTTATATAATTTTACTTTAGACAAACTTGGGAAAAATATTACTTTAAAGCTTAAAAACGATAAAATTTGGAATAAGTAATAAAACATAACCTAATAAGGTTATAAATTTGTACATCCTGTAAAACTGCTCTGTCACGTAGCACTTTTACAAGAAATGAGGATGTTTTGTTTCCTTCCTCCACGCCTCGTATCGTAGAATTTTGCACTCCACCTGCTCAAATGTCATAACCAATTCCTAAGAAAATATTATGAAATAATTGGGGATAAAAGGGCTGATTAGCAGACTCTCGGGGAGTTCGTTCAAAGTGGTTGCTATACCAAAGTGCTCCTCATCCCTGGTTCAGCCTGTCCTCCCAACTCCATTCTGCAGGAAGAGAATCTACAAGGTACAGGATCCCAACATGAACAACGAGGTAATATGATTATTGTAAAACTCTCTCTCTCCGTAGAAAGGATAGATCCTAGTCTCGCGATAGGATATAAGTCCTGTATTTTTCATGTTTTACATTTGTATTTATACTATTTGCTAGTATTATTGTTACTTCTAATCAAATTATCTACTATAAGAGGAATGTCCCTAGTCTTAGGTTAGACTTATGTTTTATGTTTTATTATATTATATTATTTGTCCTTGTTATTTTGGTCTTCTGTAATTAAATTGTTAATTTTATATTTAATGTCCTTCTTGTCTGGTATTCGTTCTCTATGCACAATCCCACACAGGATCTTACCACTCGGGTCCTGTTCAAAATCAAGCCATCCAGTGACAAAGTGAGCAGGTCTAACTGATCTGACGATTAGAGGGCCTGGACCCTCGTCCGTATTCTCACACTAGGATTTGAAATGTTTACAAAATATTTTGTTTAAAAAGTAATCATAAGCTATGAATAGTTTTCTAGGAGATATGTAATAAAAAAATATTATTTTAAAGGTAGTTAGGTTTAATGTTTTTTGACATGAAAATGATACTTACTACACACCCGCGACACACCGAGCAAGGTTGTTTGGGAGCATGATGTTCAATAAGCGGTCAAACTCGGTACACCTTTCCAGTGCTCTGATGGAAAATTAGTACGTGCCACGAATTGTGGGGAACCGATGTAATCTACACTCGACACTGTGTTTGACCACACGTGGCACCGCGAACTCTCTCTAGTGCGAATGAATGATAATATTCGTTGAAACAATCAGAGAAATAATATTGTCCTGTCTCTTGCAAGGTTCACTGGATTAACAAGATACATTAGGTATTTACGATTATAACTCATTTAAAGAAATGTTCTCATAACTGATAAATTTTTTATAAGATATGGAGTACATATTTAAGATACTGCATCCAAGTACGCAGTTAACAAAGCACAAGTAAAACAAAATTGTTACATTCGAGCCCTCCATATCTTACATTTTAGAGATTCGGTGCAGAATATTATCAACTTGATATAACTTACCGAATTTGTAGCTTATACAGTATATAAGACGAGTTTTGCCGGCGAGTCACAAATTCGTTAAGCGTAATAAAAATAATAGCTGGAAAATATAAGAAAATGTCGTAAGGTTTATATTTGGAATTTTCGAAATATTAAAACAAGACTCCATTGGCGTAAAAACGGGCATAAAACCTTCGCCGTAAAAACTTTTAATGACGTGACCTATTTGCGTTTGCATCTTGACTGCGGTGGAGGTCCGGCTAGCGAAGTTTTAACAGCCACGGTACTATCGAAGTTACACTTGTATATGTGATATATTGGTATAAAGACAATGACTATATTCTACGAGTTTTTTCTGTACTATAACTACAAATGTATTAGTAGAAATAATATCTTTACTTTTATATATTAACTTTTATTCATGTATTATTAAGATCATATCCAGCATTTATAATCTTAGCCTTTTTATTACTACTAAATTGAAGGATGTTCTTTTTTCCGTGCATATAGCGTNGATATTTGTCCAGGGAAGACAGTACAAACTTTAGGTGTTGCTGTGCCGGTGTTTAAACTCAGAGGACATAAGTTTACAAAGGCATGTCGAATAGTGCAGCCAGAGATCCCAGCTCCTTGTATGGGAATAATTGGCCGGGATATGTTAGAACAAGAGAACATAAAAATCGATGGCGAAAATCGAAGAATTATTTTATCTAATGGGAAAGAAGTACATTATTGTTCATCTAATCCTCCCAGGGATAATTTTTCCCAAAAGAAATCGTCAAGAATAAGACAAAAGAGGAGTAAAAGGGGAATCGATGTGAGATATTCTGAGCCCAGTATAGTACGAAGTGTTCGGGTGGTTTCTCTCAGCAACCGCCATAGCAGGAACAAGGCCAGCGCAACAGGGCAGAACCCAAGGGTTGAGAGCAAGACGGATACAAAGGAAGGGTGTAGCAAGGACCAAGAAACTACGAGGAAGAGAAATTGTAGAGACTCTATAGAGATCGTAAACGATGACAAAGTAGTTAGGAGCGAGTATAAATATCGTTCTGGGGTCAAAGAAATATTACAGCAGTTTATACATTTGATGTTCTTTACTTTTAGTATTATCATGGGATTAGGTTATAGGATGATAATTCGACGATCCATTGTGGAAATAGGAATGGAGAAAAGGGCCTACAGAAGCGGTATCCCTATATCCACGTTCGGAAAACCTGCCGGGTATCCTGTTCTTAACGGATCTAACAGACCCTGTTTCAGATCTTCTGGCAAGGGTTACGGGAGTAAGGGAAAAGACAGCTCCCTGGATCCATAGCATTGAGCTGGCATCGAGCTCTTTGCTACAAAGTCAAATTTGGGCGACGAAAGGAGGAAAGTGTAGGTGCTAGTATAAGGTTACCCTCACGGTCTTATCCAGGTTAAAGGAGTATATAGTTGGAATACGTAGAAAAACCTAGAATAGTTATTGAAGTAGTATAAGTAGTTGTAATAAAGATAAAGAGAGAGAGAGAGAGTCGGACTAAAATATCCATAGGGATATAAAATTGTAACTCAGGATTCCTTTTCAACTACCTCCAACTTGTGTGCCTCAGTGTTTCGTAAACCTTTATTTGTTTTAAGTGTTGATTTCACGAGTCTTCAGGAAACATCGCTACAAAAGTACCTGTAGAATCAACGTTCGACGCCTCTTCAACCCACGTCCACCATCTCCTCCCAGAAGTCCAAAACGAAGACCTCAACGAGCATTTCTGCTCCACCTCAGCATTGACAAACAACTATTATAGAGACCGACCAGCCACTTCCCTGATGTATTATCAGCTTTATAGGAAGTATTTGAGGAAGTTTTAAAGAAGATATAAATGACTGTTCCTGAAGGAAAGACTATTTCCTCTTCCTGAAGATATTAACTTGTGAATTAACTTTCCGAGAGGAATCTACTTCCGTCATATTTTTGTAATCTATATTATATGTTTATTCATTAGTATAACTAACCTTACCATTTTAAACTGCTTGTAAGCAATATTATATATCACCTATATTGTATGTTATTGAACTATATTATATTTTATATTGTACTCAATAACAAAATATTATTTCCAATATAAGCACAAGATATCAATTATATCTATTTTTATGTAACCAATATAATAAGATTTACTGTAAAGAGAGAGAGTAATATATCAAATAGAAAAATCTCACCTATCTTTAGGACGGTGTGATTTTTGAAAGGAAGGAAGTGGTGTGATAATCCGGAGGGATTCTCAAATCAATTTATATAATTTTACTTTAGACAAACTTGGGNTTATAACTATTAATTAAATATTTTTCATTAGAGAGTAATACCTGCAATTATATCGAGAGTGCAATATTTCATCCATTCCAAAATATCGAATATTTCATTCTTTTGCAATTGTTTGAGTTTTTCCACTAAGACGTTTGAATGCTCCATAAATATGTTTTGGTCATCTTTGAGATTCCAAACTTGTCCATGTGGAGCTAAATATTTTCTTCTTCTTCTCCAATCATCGTCAGAACTTTATTTAATTAAATTCAGAAAACTGTAAACAACGATATTTAAACTAAATATCAAATAATTCATTACCTGGACAGCAGAGTGTTGTCTCCGAGAAGTGGCTTGAAGAAATCATATATAAAATTTTTATTGATTAAACTGTTGCTTCTTAACACTTCCTATAAAACACAATACTGTAAGTTTACATTTGTAATGAATATATTACATAACTAGGCATGTTTGATTACCTTTGCAGATTCCGGATGTAAAAAAAAGATAAATTTATATCCAAATGTGTTCATACAGGCAACTTCCTCGTTTTGAAATAGCGCAGAGAGTCCAGTCAATAAATTTAAAATAACTAAAAAAGAAAGAAAAATATTTACGTATTTATAAACAGTCAAATTACCCAATAAAATAATATCGACATACATATCCCAATGAATGAATTGTGGTATTGCGTGATACGTTGAGAAAACAAAATGTTCCACAAAACTGGTAAAAATGATATAGACGGAAGATTCATTTTTAACTCCTGGCCGTTGCCTTTATTTTCTGGACAATTAATGTCTGTTATAAAAATAAATAAAAAGTTTATAACGAAAAATTATTTATTGTGTCATCGTCAGAATGCCCAGCAGCAATTTATTTATCATATTTTTAATTTATTTAATTTACAATATATGCTTTCGACTCAAATTAGTCGTTGCTTGTCACTGTACATCATACTTTTCCTTTAACAACAGACTGGTACATGTCATCTATCTAACACCTTTCAAGAAAAAATGTTTGAATTGAAATAATAGGACTTCCGATTTTTAACGAAAGATATAGTTATTCAGGGCCGAACGTGCAGAGGATATCCACGGCATGTCTCGATCTTCGTATATTTCACTTCGTTCTTGAAATTAAGGAATAACAGTCAAACAGTCAATCGACAGTAGGAATTTATAGGCCTACAGTTATTTCGAATCGCAGCTCAATAACTATGTATCGTATAGTATAAAAGTATTTTGTTTTTATTTTGTTATATTCGATTTATTCATACAAGCAATGAATATATTGTATACAATCGTACAAATAAGTTTCGTTAATCATGTTAGAATATGCAAAATGTATATTTTTTGGTTGTAAAAGTAGTAAAAAATATTTTTATTGCAAAATTCTGTTTGTTTGTATTGTAAACACTGCAGTAAACTATGAGCACTTTGTTTCTGATTGAAGCACAGCAACGGCCTGCGAACCCGTTTTACATCATAACTAACGTAAAGAAATTATTCGACTTGTCACTCTGCATAAGTAGTATTTTTTTTTTTACCTTTGTTTTAAAATTGCTGTAAATTGCATAATAAACGTTGTGCAGGAGATAATACGTTAAGGTGTTATAGGTTAATTAATGTATACATGATTAACTTTTCGAAAAAAATGAAGTTTCTCTGTATTTCGAACATATGTTAACGCCCGCTATTGTTTTTTTTTAGTTATAACAAAGCTAAATTTTCCTTTCTACTTAACTTTGAGGACAGCATTCAACATCCTATATGTTCTGTCAAAGTTGTATTTGAAACTTCACAATCTGTCATTTTAAAAATTCTATTAATATGAAAATTTTCGTAAAAACCGTTAGAAACATTTACTTATCGCAACGTGTTTCTGCATTTTTTAATTTGAGTGGCCACCACAAGAATGCGTGCCCGTTTTATTTTCGTACGAATATGATATTTCATATAAATAACAAGATACACAGCTTTTCGGTAATTTATTAAGAGTCTAATAGTAAACATTTCGTTACAAAAACACTGTAATGTAAATGAAAGAAAAATATTAGAATACAAAAATCTTTTAAACTGGCAAATTGCCCTAGAATTTTGTTGTAGTGTGAATGCTCGGATTTGTACAATTTAAAATCCCTATAATTTATTATCACTTTATTTACGTCAAATGCGCATAAAAGTAATATTAGAAAAAAATAAAAATGTAAACCAATTAACTAACAAGTAAGTTACACTATTTATTAAACTTCATCCACATGTTCTGTATTCGGCAAAGTATTTGTTTAAGTGTTGATTACTTGTTCAGTATACACGTACATACGAGTATCTGCCGATCATCTGCTTAGAATAAAAAATGTTCGTACGAGATCTATAAAATCGATAATTCTCAATCAATAATTTGTGCTGCTACTTGCACTTATGAGCATTACATATCTGTTAATGGAAGTAAACGAGACAAAAGGGAGAGCATGGTGACTGGTAACACTTAAACCAGGGGTGTCCAACCCGCGGCCCGCCGGCCGCATGCAGCCCAATAAACGTGTACACAAAACCGACAATTTTTAAAATTATTTATCTATTCATTTATTTCAATGGCATAATCTCAAAAAAGAAGTTTCATAAAGCCGTAAATTTTTATACATATTTTATTTTTGAGTAAAAAAGAAATATTTTCAAATACTTAGAAATGTGTGAATGAGGAAGGTATACTAAATAAAGCTGGAGTTGGCTCTCAAAGAAGTATAGACTCAAATTCAGGGTAATGAAGTAAAAGACCTAAAGATATAAAGTAATGAGAAAGGTTAAATAGAGCTTCTGTTTTGCAATATGAACCCTTAATCTTCCAACCTTTCTCACTTATTTATCTTTTGTCCTCTTTCTCCTTTCCCCGCATTTCGGTCTATAGTGTGAGACCTGGAAGGCCCCTGGGTCTAAATTAATAATTTTATTAATTATGTTAAATATTGTCACCAAATATTACTTCATTTTTGGTGAGAAAAATAATATTTTAACGTGGGAAAAGGCAGATAACAAATGTTACTTCCTTTCATAGAAGTTAGTACATCCTCTGTTTTTCCCTTATCTGCGAAAAGTCTCGCTTTGATGGGAAATGTTTACCCCTCACATATCCCCCTTTCATCCGTTCTCATGAAAGAGTTACTGGCCGATGATTGGTCGAAAATCAGCAGATATAGAGGAAATTTGTCAGAATTCGGGGAGTTCATTGGCAGACATAGAGAGTGTCCGAACTCCATACATTTTCCTCCTGATGACCAACGTCCTTAGACGAGTCACATACAGAATAATTCCAGAGTTAGCACTTAGAAAATATACTTGGATTTTGTGCACATATTGATCTTCCATGGAAGGAAGTAAATGAACTTTATCTCCAAAGTGTCCCTTGCATACAGAGAAGAAGACGAACGACAACTAAACAGGTTGTATGTTTTATAACGATTTTGTGAGCTCTCTCTCTAGATCGCGCATCGGTATAGAATAAGTCCATGCCTATATCGTGTATCTTAATTGTCGTATGTATATCCCTCGTTCATTGATATTTGTATTAGTTTTACTTTTTGAATAATTAAATTTACTTTTGTTTGTTTTATAATTAAAATGTCTCCTAATTTTGAATCAGAATCAGATCTCATACGCGTGTTTGTCCGCGGATCGATAGATCGACAAACTGGCGTCAGCCCTGACAAGCATCTGGACTTCACAGTTCAGATCTACTAGCGATTATCGCTCTCCTATGAAAAATTTTAAGATCGGATCTCTCGATCCGAAACTTTGGAGACAGATTTCGGATAATCTGTGCCTAGTAAGTGATACAGGCGTAATAAACCTACCCTGTACCCCAGGCTACTCACAATAATCCTTTCACTCATTTTTGAGTGGAAAAGAAATATTTTGTTCTTTTGAGTCTCAACTCCAGCTTTATTTAGTATTCCTTCCAGCGTTGCAAGATTCGGCTACTTTGCGGAAAATTCGGCTACTTTTTTATTAGTTTGATGTAAAAAGTGTCAGTTGGCACATTGACTATTTTCTGGGCTACATATTATTTATAAATATATTAGTTTAATAAAAATACACTTTAAAATGGTGTTTCGTCGTTTTTTATTAATTGGAGACTCAAATAAAACAAATATTTGTGTTTTTCAAATAAATTTTTGTTCGTCTCCTTTTTAATAAATGAATTTATCTATTTCTAAGTAAAAATTGAAAGTGTCTGTAAAAGTAATTTTTAAAAACATTCTAATTTGTGGTAAACTTTTAGTACTTATTTCTATAATCCAGACATGTTAATACAGTAGAGCATCGATTATCCGACCCTGATTAACCGTCAAATCGGTTAACCGGCAGTTCTAGTCTGCAAATTTCAAATGTGTGCTAGTGATGTGGCACTACAATATTTGGCTTTGTCTTGGCTACTTTAATATTATTTTTGTTAAAATTTTGCATGTTTTAGCTGGCAACACGGCTCGACCATTGAAGGGAGGCCAGTATTTAAACGAGACTTAATTTTCTAATTATGAGTGGCTGTTTGTTTTGTGAGCAATAAAATAATTTAAAAATAATTTTTAACAATACGATAGCGACGATTATTATTTAAAAAAAAAAAATTGTTAGGCTTAACATCGATGAAAATTCATCTAATACTAACTCGTTGCGTACGAAAAAATTTTTGATATTAATGTAATTACATTAAAAATATTTAAAACTGAAAAAACGAAAGAAATGCGTTAATTTTGAAGAAAAAGCTTCAAATTTTATTTTCCTTTGTCTCCACTTTCTGTTAAATCTGACACTGATGAGTCATTGTTTACACAGCTGGATGACCTTGAACACAGCTGGATGACCTTGAAAACAGCTGGAGTCGGATTTTTCGGGACATTCTCATAGAAGTCTTGGGAGGCGTGGGTTTATAGTAGGGTAAATACTAGCTGGACATATATTTTTAAATATTTTTAAAAAATTAAAATTTTTATTGCGATTTTCGACCCCCCCACTTAAACTTATATATAATAAAATCTATTAATTAAAAAAATTTAAAAACAATTGGAAATCGTTTTCGATATCAGAAACTAGCTTTAAATAACTTTACCGAAGGAAAATCCGTACACTACAACTTTAGAACGATGAATGAAATTTGATATCGAACTCTAATTAAAAAACAATTAAAAGGCAATTAAGCGTGAATCGTGCGTCATTAAAGGTAAATTATAATCGCGATAAAATTTTTTCGCGCGGGAAAAATATTTTAAAAAAATTTGGAGACTTAAAAAACATTCCAAAAATCCAAAAAAAAAAAACAAAAATTTTTAGGTGGTTCAAAGGCCCGAGTTTTATGTAACGCTATGAAACTTGCCCGAAATACCTCGGGAAATGTCCTTAAGGTCTAATATACAGTAAACCCCTATAACGCGGGTTTCTATAACGGGGATACCTATAACGCGGCGAAAAAATTGCGACAATATTCGTATAAAGACGCTAAAACGGACTCGTAAAACGCGGTAAAACGTCATTGCCAACTCGTCATCGCGGACAAGCAGTTGAACTAGTTTCCATCGAATTGAGTTTACTATCGTCTGTACAGTATTATATATAAACTATATATAAATTAGGTACCGTACATATAATTACATATTAATTATATATATATTATTTACTGTATATATATTTATAAATTAACTTAATTTATTTTAACTTTATTATAATTTTGATGATATGAAACCGTGCTTTAAAATTTGTTTATGCTTCTAACACAATAAAGTGTTATAAATTAAGACACTTGGCGGGTTTTCTCATCTTTATTTAGTTGATACGTGTGAAAATTTTTACACGTTTCGGGCTCTTAAGCCCCTCTTTAGCCAACTAAAACATTAAAAAAGAATATAACATACATATAAAAACACAAGTATTGTAGAAATCATAAAAATATAAAACGTACCTTTCACTTACAAAACAGTTCTACAAAATCCCTGATATAAAACATATTCTGGACATAAACTTATTATATAACCAATATAAACTATAAAACATATTCTTGATATAAACATACACTGGACAACAACTATCAAATTGGTGTACAATTGATTATGCTTTCTACAAAATCCTTATTTCTTTTGATACACATTCACAATATAATACGAATTTACATAACTTCTACAATATAAATTTACATATCTGACATCTACTATATTTTTTACAATGTATGATTGTTGATTTATTTAACATTTTAATATTTAATATTATAGATTATTATTTGAACTATTGATATTACAATGTCTTGAAGTTGGTAAACATTATTAACATTTAATGTAGATTTACATATTATTTGACTCCCATTACGACATTACAGTTTTTTGTTATTGATTTATTTAACAGTTCAATAATTATTATTTAGCACATTGATCACAATAATAATAATTTGAATCCAGTGAATACAATCAATATAAAAATTTTAACCAGTTTTCGTTTATAGAGATGCTAGGATTTTTATTTATACTATTTTGATTTTTGATTATTTCTATACTTTCTTTGAATTTTCTTTTATATGTATCTTTTTCTCTGTGTAAAATATCTATATTATCTTTGTCTATATTACAATTATTTAAAAGGCAGTGTTCATGAAAAGCAGAATTTAGTCTACGATATTTCAAATCGGCTATATGTTCTTTCAATCTTACTTTAACTTTACGTTTAGTTTCACCTATATAAAATTTTTTATTTTCGCATGTACACGGAATTTTATAGACTACATTTTTACTTTCTTCTTTCTTTGTTATATTTGTTTTGTTAACTTGTTTTGCATTTAATCTGGAGATTAGCTTATCGTATGTCGGTACTAGTTTTACATTAATTTTTTTGACTTCTTTATTAACTTCTTCGTATAGACCTCTTATATATGGGAAACGAATGTATTTTATTTCGGCTTGTTTAGGATCTATTCTTATTGTTTTATCTGTTTTTTTATCTATTTCTTTTTCCCAAATATTAAGGATTCTGTTTGGGTATCCTGAAAGAATAAATTTTTTCTTTAGTGTATTTAAATGTTCGATTTGTTTAGTATTTATACTAGTTCTATTTTTGATTTTAGTGTATTCCATATTAAATATGTTTTGTTTTATATGAAGTGGTATGTTAGAATTATAGTTAACTGTGGTATTTATTGAGCACTGCTTTTTAAACGGTTCAAATTCGAGATTTGTATTATTTCTTTTAATTGTAATATCTAAATAATTTATGCTGTTGGTAATTTTATCTTCTTCTTCTATTTTAAATTGAATATTTTTATGGATATTATTTATTATTTTTCTGATTTTAGTAGTGTTAATTTCGACTTCATCATATATTATTAGGACATCGTCTACGTATCTTCTGTAGAACTTTATACCATATATGTCACTTATTTCTTTGTCTATATCTATCATTATGATCTCTGCTAGTTTCGGTCCTATTACGGACCCCATACTAATTCCACTATTCTGTGTGTAATATTTACTGTTTATTTCAAAGTAGTTGCTTCTGTAGGTAAATTCGATTAGGTCTATTATTTCAGGTTCAATTTTAAGTTGTGTCAGCTTTGGTTCAATTATTTCCCATATTATGGAAGGGTACATATCAATTATGTCCAGACTTGCAATTCTGTATGTATCTTTTATATCTATCTGTTTAATATCACATAATAGTTCATCAGTATTATAAATAGCAAATTCAGAATTTTGATATATTTTTAGTTTCTGTTTTAGAATTTTCTCAAGATTATATAACGTTGTATTTCTGAAGTCAACTATAGGACGGACGGATTCATCTGCTTTATGGGTTTTAAGTTGTATCTTCATTTTCGGTGTACGATCGTTGTTTTCGCTCAGGATAAATTCTTTTTCATCTTTAGTTAAGCTTTTTAGTTTGTATAGTTTGGTAATTCTATTTTCATATAGTAATAAGTAATAAGTCTAGCAAAAAACATGCCGTCATACAACTCGTAAAATTGAATATAAGTCTAGACAAGAAACGTATTACAGAGGTAGATTGATGCTATTATATTTCCGTAGTTAAGTCGACGTGGTGGGCAGATAAAAGTGGTTGTGTTTATTTCCAGCAGGGTCGAGCTTAATGACGATTTTACTAGTTATTAGTATTTAAAAATTTTATAAAACTTTTCCTCACTTTTAAAATTTAACTTATCCCTATTTTATAACAGCTAAAAGTATGAACTTTTAAAATAAAATATGATAACAGATGGCGCCTCCAAACGCTTCCAGGAATCATAAGAAACTAGTTGCTAGATTCACCATAACACCACGTAGGGCTATGCCATCTTGCAAGCCATCAAATATGTTACCGATAGAACTACCCATGCCGTTCTTTGCACCGATTCCAAATTTATCTACTCCACCTTGAACAACTGCAATAACAAATCTCCTATTATCTTTCACAGCATCCGTAACAAACTACACATCACTACAGCCACGACAAGCACATACATTTCATCTGGACTCCCGCCCACCATGGTATCGACATCAACGAGAAAGCAGACGACCTAACTAATAGCAATCTCCTAAAAACAGTTAACACCAACTTTATAACCCCGGAAAACTCCTAACTGTCATTAACTCCGATCACCTACACAACATGGATGCTATCTGAAGCCACTACCCGAAGCAAAATAACTATCTTTGGTTTAAGGACAGCTCATATACAGTCGACCACCCTACAGCCTGGCTCACGTATTTGTAAAATCTAAGTGACTCGTACAACATGAAATTCATATAAAACGAGATTATCAACAGTGTTAGAGGGGGCGAATATAGGGGGGCAAAATACCGAACCAATATAATTATCCTTGGTTTAACGACAGCCCATATACTGGCATAGCCACCATTTTCGTTCGTAATATTAACGTTTTAATCAACCGCGTCAAGACCCACTTTTTACTTACAAATCACTTTCTTTACACTCCAAAAATAAAAAGTAATGATAAATGCAGTTACTGCCCCAACCAGATCTTTATCTTTATAAATAAATCAAAGATAATACGTTTTATTTCTAGGATAACGAAGTTAGTAACACTTCAAAAATAATAATACAAAAATACTCTTAATTTAGATTTGTCTCGGATGTGTTGTAATCATTTAAATTAATTCTTAACAGAGCATTAGAAATTATAATTTTAAGCATAAAAAGTTTGCAGGTAAATTCATTTTCCTCGTTTTAATATTTGTGAATGTTGCACAAAAAACCAAGAAAAATTTACCGAAAGAAAGACTGTTATAAAGTTCTTCTTTGTTAAATTAACGATATTTTAAAACATTTTCTTACCTGCAGATGCAGAGGAAGACGAATAATTTTCCCGTTGTTTCGTTCTGTTACTCCATTTCTTTCCTAATGAATATATCACTAGAAGAGATATAATAAGCAAACTTAAAAGAATTTGAAAAGTCGACAGAAACATGGTTGATACTCTTCTTCCTCTGCACTTTCTAGTGTACGTAATAATTTTCTACGTATATATATATCTGCAAAATAATAACTCTGGAAAAATGCCAATTACACTCAAAGTTTTTATGACACGTATTCGACACCTGCCAAGTTTTGACGTCAAAATCGCCATGCAGTAAAAATTGGGGGCGCTGTGAGGATTTTGTTATCGCGGGTCTATAATTTAACCTAGTGTGATAATCCGGAGGGATTCTCAAATCAATTTATATAATTTTACTTTAGACAAACTTGGGAAAAATATTACTTTAAAGCTTAAAAACGATAAAATTTGGAATAAGTAATAAAACATAACCTAATAAGGTTATAAATTTGTACATCCTGTAAAACTGCTCTGTCACGTAGCACTTTTACAAGAAATGAGGATGTTTTGTTTCCTTCCTCCACGCCTCGTATCGTAGAATTTTGCACTCCACCTGCTCAAATGTCATAACCAATTCCTAAGAAAATATTATGAAATAATTGGGGATAAAAGGGCTGATTAGCAGACTCTCGGGGAGTTCGTTCAAAGTGGTTGCTATACCAAAGTGCTCCTCATCCCTGGTTCAGCCTGTCCTCCCAACTCCATTCTGCAGGAAGAGAATCTACAAGGTACAGGATCCCAACATGAACAACGAGGTAATATGATTATTGTAAAACTCTCTCTCTCCGTAGAAAGGATAGATCCTAGTCTCGCGATAGGATATAAGTCCTGTATTTTTCATGTTTTACATTTGTATTTATACTATGTGCTAGTATTATTGTTACTTCTAATCAGATTATCTACTATAAGAGGAATGTCCCTAGTCTTAGGTTAGACTTATGTTTTATGTTTTATTATTATATTATTTGTCCTTGTTATTTTGGTCTTCTGTAATTAAATTGTTAATTTTATATTTAATGTCCTTCTTGTCTGGTATTCGTTCTCTATGCACAATCCCACACAGGATCTTACCACTCGGGTCCTGTTCAAAATCAAGCCATCCAGTGACAAAGTGAGCAGGTCTAACTGATCTGACGATTAGAGGGCCTGGACCCTCGTCCGTATTCTCACACTAGGATTTGAAATGTTTACAAAATATTTTGTTTAAAAAGTAATCATAAGCTATGAATAGTTTTCTAGGAGATATGTAATAAAAAAATATTATTTTAAAGGTAGTTAGGTTTAATGTTTTTTGACATGAAAATGATACTTACTACACACCCGCGACACACCGAGCAAGGTTGTTTGGGAGCATGATGTTCAATAAGCGGTCAAACTCGGTACACCTTTCCAGTGCTCTGATGGAAAATTAGTACGTGCCACGAATTGTGGGGAACCGATGTAATCTACACTCGACAATGTGTTTGACCACACGTGGCACCGCGAACTCTCTCTAGTGCGAATGAATGATAATATTCGTTGAAACAATCAGAGAAATAATATTGTCCTGTCTCTTGCAAGGTTCACTGGATTAACAAGATACATTAGGTATTTACGATTATAACTCATTTAAAGAAATGTTCTCATAACTGATAAATTTTTTATAAGATATGGAGTACATATTTAAGATACTGCATCCAAGTACGCAGTTAACAAAGCACAAGTAAAACAAAATTGTTACATTCGAGCCCTCCATATCTTACATTTTAGAGATTCGGTGCAGAATATTATCAACTTGATATAACTTACCGAATTTGTAGCTTATACAGTATATAAGACGAGTTTTGCCGGCGAGTCACAAATTCGTTAAGCGTAATAAAAATAATAGCTGGAAAATATAAGAAAATGTCGTAAGGTTTATATTTGGAATTTTCGAAATATTAAAACAAGACTCCATTGGCGTAAAAACGGGCATAAAACCTTCGCCGTAAAAACTTTTAATGACGTGACCTATTTGCGTTTGCATCTTGACTGCGGTGGAGGTCCGGCTAGCGAAGTTTTAACAGCCACGGTACTATCGAAGTTACACTTGTATATGTGATATATTGGTATAAAGACAATGACTATATTCTACGAGTTTTTTCTGTACTATAACTACAAATGTATTAGTAGAAATAATATCTTTACTTTTATATATTAACTTTTATTCATGTATTATTAAGATCATATCCAGCATTTATAATCTTAGCCTTTTTATTACTACTAAATTGAAGGATGTTCTTTTTTCCGTGCATATAGCGTGTTTTAGGCATCCATTGTTATTATAATCGGGATAACTCTTGTAGATAAATGAATACTTTCGAATGTTTCTGAAAAAACTTTCCAGATTTATTTTAGTATAGCCACAACAGATCATACACAAAAGCTCGTTTTCCGTCATTTTCGCACTGTATTGTAACGACCTAGATTTCACTGTCTGCTGTTGGTGGATGATACCATTTTATGGCTGAATTCTCATCGAAATAAGAAAATTGCTCAGCTGGCTTTTATGCTGGTTTTACGACCTGCTCAGGCATAAAATATTATGGTCACATGATTAAAAGCTTATACGGCGAGAAATTTTAAAGTGCTCACCAGCATCTTCCATCGAAATTAAAAGTTTCAGCACTGGAGGTAACATTTATGAGCTGTCAGAAAAAATGCCCCAGAACAGCTCAAATTCTAATATTTTTTCATTACAATTTAAGGGTTTTAAAGATTTCATTAGATATTTTTGATTTTTTTATATGTTAAAAGATTTAACTTTGAATAGAAGAAATAGTTTTTAATAGGATAGAAAAATTACGTGGAAAAAAATAAAATAAAAACAATTTTTTATAGGTTATATTATAACTTAGATATAAGAAGTAATTTCAGTTGCAGAATTTTTTAATTAATATTTATTTTGTTATCTAATAAATAATAAACATAAAACAGAAATTTATTATTTTTATTACTATCGTTATAAGTAGCATTATAACAAAAACACAGAAATGGAAAATTGGCCGATTTCCAAAATTGATTAATAGGAAAATTGACCTACGCGAACACTGATAAATCAGGAAAATGGGCGTCATGGACAATTACAGATTCTTTTCCGATTAATCAGTTGATTTTTAGCGTTAAACATAACATTGGTAGGCTGAAATAAGTAAAGTTTATATATGATTTTCGTTTTAATGTTTTTTATATTATGGTACATTTGTTAGGTGTTATGTTATTTGTGTTATTTGTTATGTGTATAATGTTTTTTATATTATAGTATATATTCATTTATATAACTGTAAAGATTATATTACGTCAGATATTATCAAACCGAGTGACCAATCTTACACACTTTAAAAATTCTGTATTCTCCTACATTATACAATTTTAAGAATTTTTAAAATGTATTAGAGAATGCGTTACCTCCAGATACAGGAAAAATCAGTCCATGTTTGTTCGAAGTCGAATCATTTTCCTGTTTTGTCCCTTTGTTTCTGAATTTTTTTCACTACCGTATATATATGAACACAAGTGAAATAATAACTAAACTTAAAAGAATTTGAAATGAACTCAACAGAGACATGGAGAACATTTTTCTTGATCTGCAGTTTTTAAAGATGGTAATAATAATCATATATCTATGTCATAGAAAATTGCAAATCAGAATCAGAGTGTTTATGACAGGGGATCGGTAATCTTTCTATCTTAGAAATCTAACGTCGCACTATGACAGATGGGAAGTGCTGTCCAGGAGAGGCTGCAAGACATGCAAGACAACTTTGCATCAGCCAACTTTTTGTGTTGTTATTATTTTTCTAGCCCTTGGAGGTTTTAAATCAGAATTTAAATCATTTACAGCACATTTTTATATAAAACCGTTTCCTAACTCGAATATATTTTGATAGTAGTTTATATAAATATTAAAAATTTACTTAACTACTGTTATGTTTATAGCTGAAATTAAAAGGTTACTTATTCTGAACACGATTCTGTGATATAACCGGTTCTATTAGTAAGCAGTCATAATTTTACTTTTTCAAAATTTGTTTTTCTCTTTGGTTGTATAATAATAATTAATTCTAAACAATTTCCGTTGTATTGCCTATTTTAGACATTCGTCTCGTAAAATATACAAAAATAACAAAAGCGGGTCAAAATTAAATCGCTCATAAATATTTTCTTATTTTTATTTTACAACAGCCGAAAAAGTAAAAGTAATTTTCCCATTTGCTTTAAGTCGATGAAGACAAAACATCGTTTAACCACGCTTATAGTTTTATTTTTATAAAAATCAATAATAATTGGCATGTCAAAATAATTTGATTCTCTCCTGTAAACACTTTACTTTTGTCAAGAAAAACATTTTTATAACAGTCGAAAAAGTAAATGTTCAATTGAACTTGTTAAAATATCAACGATATGTGAAGACTTTCAGGCATTCAAGAAAAAAAGCAACAGATTACAAGTATTTTATGGATAGTCAGTAAAAACTCCACCGGTAAAGTTACTAAATGCTCGAATAAAGTAATTGGTTAGAAGCAGTTTGTAAGAGAACGAGTAAACATTTTGAACAAGTGATACTTGTTCAAAAATGTATCACTTTTTCAAAATGTGCATTTTATTCTGCAATAAAAAAATTTATTGCAGAATAAAATGTTTTTCTTGGTCTTTACTCATTTCTATAAAGATTAAACAACATTGTTCTATGACACTGCTTTACCTTCGTCCTCAAGTCTAGCTGAATGTCTAAAAATACTATTTTCCATATGTACTGTACAGTTATCTCGAGTTATATAGAAAATTAATGATTTCTAAAGCGTTTCTGTTTATTTTTGTTCGAAAACCGATACGGAAACTACATTTTTGAACAAGTATCACTTACAAAGTTTCAGAGTAAAAGAATTTACCTTTAAATATTATAAGAGTTTATGCTCATATTTAAGAAACTAAATTTTACTTTTATGAAAATAAAGCTGAAATGAAAATTTTAAATTCAATATGCAGTTGTTTACAAAGTGGAAATTTATCGGAACGATCAAGGAAAAATTGCAAGGTCAAAGTAAATAACGTGGAATTAATTATTTTTTAATTTTTTATTTTAGTTAGATTTCTAGGAATCACTTTGACTTGATTTTATGCCAATTGTCATTAAAATTTTACTATATTTAATACGAACAATTAATCAATAGTAAAGGAAATTTCCACTCAGGAATAATTATTTTTTAAAATTACTCTTTAGTAAATGAATTTATCTAATGGTTTCGAATGTAAACTAATTGAATTCTGAACATCACTTCTGTTTTTTTTTAATTTTAAAATATTTATTAAAATACACAAATAAAGTTAAAACATAGAACAAATAAATAAAAATTTTCTTGTCTTTTTTCCAGAAAGTCAATCTCTAGAAATTAATTCATTCTTTTCTAGCTGACAGTGTAATTACGAGACTTAAACATTTACTTACATTTTTATGTATAACACCTACAGAAGGCTTTTAGATCTTATTAACGTGCGCTCGTCAGGTGATTCTTAAAATTTTCGACAGCCAAAAAATACGTAAGGTAAGCACGAATTGTTTAGAACAAGTATATAATAGAACTTTATTTAAGTCAAGGTTTATATTAAAAAGTTTATTATTTATTATTACTTTTGCCTTCCAGGTAATAATAACTTTGATAAATAACGTGATTAATATAAACAAATTAAAAATGTGCAACGAAAAATGTTGTTCAACGAGTGTAGTAGTAAATTCAGAACAGACAAAAGTATTCGATAAAAAAATGATAAACTATATTTTTTATTTTTCTAAACTTTATTCTTGTATAAAATAATTTTAAATTATTTGTTTTATACGAAAATGTATAGTTTTATTAGTTACTTTTATATTCAATTTAATTATAAGATTAAATAGATTTTTAATAATATTGTTTATACTTATGAGAACCTGGATTATAGGTTTTCGACCCCATTTCTTAGAATATATTTTAAAGCTGAATATTATTATTACTGATAGAACAATGCTTATTAGTTAAATATTTCTACTTTTTATAAATTTTATTTAAAACTATTTTTCGTGTAAACATGAATTTTATCGTGTAAGAATTTACATTTTGTTTTTTATACTAAAATAAAAAGTAAAAATTATGCTTAACAAGTATGGATTATTTCTTACTATTAAAACAATTTCAAAGTTGTTTAAATTATTTTAATCTCTTATCTACATTTAAATATGATTTTAAGTGTTAGAAAAAATGAGAATCAATTGTAGAAATTCATGTTTTCTTTGTTGATTATCGTATATAAAACGTAACGTACGTTATAGAACTTTCAATACATAAATAAACTGGCAATTTCAATTAATATCACTATTTTTTATATGCGTTGCTATTAATTTAACAGAATTGTTTATGTGAGCATCAATGAAATGATAAGTTCTATTATTACTGTAATGCCATACTTCAAATCCTCTTGATTCTTATATTCACTCCAGCTATAATAACTGCGATAAGTACGTTAACAATTTGACTTAATTTTCATAAATTTTCAACTTGAAACTAAACAATACATACATTCAATCTTTGAAATTTTTTTAAATCACTTTTTTCGTGAATTTACCGACATAGAATACGCCTCTGTTTGTTTTTTCCTCTGTTTGTTTTGGAAGTCAAATATTATCTTAAAGTCGATGTTTTGCCGTCAGAGCTTTTGAAGTATTTTTATTATCTCAAATAACTATAATCGTAACAATAATTAGGACAGCATTTAACAATTTTTAACCTGTTAAACGCTTAATGTTCTCTAATTAAGTGGGAATATAAACGGCCATAACCACTTTCAAAATACACGCAGATAATTATTTAAATTAAGTATGATGTAAATAGTTGAAATCCTTGAACAACTGTTAAGCGGAATACAAATAATTGCATCACTTCGAGGTTGTTATAGTGCCATTGTGAATTTTTATGATTAGCAAGTTATAGATCGCGTGTCATAAAACATTCATTCCGATTTGAGTTTTTTCGATGGTTATTATCTTACAGTTAGATAGATAGACCTAAAGTTAAATACATGATTATTACGTATCAGTTTGAATCTGCAGGCCAAAGAGAACATTAATGATGTTTATGTTGAATTCATTCCAAATGATTCTAAGTTCAATTATTACTTGTCTTGTGTTTATGTATATATTAGTGAGAAAATGCAGAAACAGAACAAATCAACTGAAAAATGATTCGACATTGATTACACATGGACTTCGATCACACACTGAAAAACTTCCTCTTTATCTGATGGTAAGATAATATTAAACATTTATTATATTTTATAATATCATAAATTTAATACGAAACAAAGTGAGTTTATGATGCAGTTAGATTATTAATATATTCACAGGTTTATTATACAGTGAATTCAATAAAGATAAAACATCCGACACTTTATTAACATCTTTAGTGTTATAGGTGCTATTAAAGTATGATTGTTGCTACTTATTACTTTCATAAAGACACACTTTCACACTAATAGATTAGATTCTAAATAAATCAGCAGCTAACTATTTATAAAAAGTAAATTTTTCAATGTTCAACAGTGATAATAACACTTAAAAATCTAATTAAAAACATATATATATATAAAGTAAATTTTTTATATGTTTAGTTGAATATGTGCTAAATCGCCTGATTTAACTATTGACATTTTTTATTACTGTTATGGCAAATATAATTTGTTGTTTGAATAGCAAAACATTGTTAATACGAAAATGGCAACATGAATTCGGCCAAGAAACTCACAGTGTAAGAAAAGTACAGAATAAACGATATAAATCAGAGGTCGTAAACTGGCACCTGCGAGCCAGATACCGCTTGTTGATATTTCGTTTCCTGTTTGCGGCCTCTATAATAATTTTTCCCTAAATCAATGATTCTAGCGTTTTGCAGATATTAAAACAGAAAAAAAGCCAACTTTGAACTATTCAAGTATGTCATAAAGGCCTTTGTTAAAATTCATTTATCATTATTATTTTAAAAGTATTATTAGCTTCGGTTTCTTACAATAATTTAAAACGAATTTTTATCGGTTGTGTTATACACATTTACTCTATTTAATACAAAAGCATATTAAATAATAGATAAATACAGGAATAAACAGTGGATTCCGATAATTCAAATTACAGCTTTCGAGTGCCAGGTGCTTCTCGTTCATCTTCCGTAAGGCTACGTTGATTAATATAACATCAGGTAATCTTCCTGTTAATTCAACGTCTGTGGGAAATCATGGTAATCGTCTTTTCTATAATTCCTCTTCCAAATATTTAAAAATGTTTCTTTTTATTTGTAAATCTTGTTTTGTTTTTTGAGTCGTAGCCTTAATAGCATGTACTACAATCAAAGCAGTCATCGTTCATTTTCTTCCTTTTTAATGTTATCACAAAATCTGTAACATTACCTGAACAATAACTTTGTGTCCGTTGTGAGTCTTTCATGTTAAACTTGAAACTATTATACTCGTTGGTTTTTTAATAATTGGCACAGTCTTAGCACAATATGCCTGCATTCTCTCAATTGGCCCACTTTCTGATATTCATACTTTTTCAGATTGTTTCTCGTAATCGTGGTTTAAAAGAGCACATCAATTTATTTTGTCAGCAGTGACAGATTATGTACATTTGTATGTGATAAACGTGTTACTTATGCTTTAAATAACTGAAGAATTGTGTAAAAATCAACGAAAAGTTTATCACCAGCAATTTAGCCAACATTCTTACAACATTAATAATACAACTAGTGAATTTTATGATTATGCAATAATATTTAGCGTTATAAAAATTCCAGCGACAAATTACGAAACCTTACCGACTGTTAATAGATTTTATTTTAAAAAATCAATTTTATATCTGTAATTATACTACTGATAAAATGTGTGTGGCTTCATCGGTTATGAGATTTAAAAAATATTTTCTATTATTATTATTATCAAATTGTAAAACACTCAATTTTAACAGTAAAGATAAATTTTATTAAAAAAAATTGTAAATTGTAATAATTATTAAAGTCTTCATTAAGTTAGACCTAATTAAGTTTAATATTTATTCTAAGAAATAAAACCGTTTTTAAAATATAACATATCATAACAGATGGCGCCTAACGCAGTTATTAATATTGCTGGGAAACTTAAGCAATTGATTACTTGAGTTATACCATTTTGTTTCAATTTCTAATGCTTAATTTATGAGTTTTTTTTAGTAACTGCAATGCGTTCGAGACTTATGTAAAAGTATTTTTTATATTCTTATTTTTTAAAATATTAATACAGTCGACCCCCTATAACACGGTAGATACGTTCCGAGTTTTATGAATCCAACTTCTAGGAGTCCAGCTAATCACAGCCCGACACGTATGCAGTTTACGGACTACGGCTGTTTGAAAGGTTTCTTCCATAAAATTAATCGATACTAGACTCATTCGACTTAACATTTCCAAAATACGTATAATTTTTTGGGAATAATCCATATAAACTATGCTATAAACAAAAAATTGTATGATTACTTACCGAGTGTGCACCGTTCGACTACGCCGTTGCTTAAGCTTGTTTTCGCCGTAGAGATTGTCATCGAATGGCGCTCGCGTGCTTCCTGATAAATTATTTTTTTGCGAAAAATTCGCTGAACTTTAGAGACATCATTAATATAAATATAATTTTTATGTACGTTAAATAATAAATGGTTTTTAGTAGGTACGCTGCTCGTTTAAACCCAACGGTTTCTGCAATCCTGTCGCGACACGAGTCGGCGATGACGTTTACCGAATTATAGGAGTTTTTTAGCATGTTTGTACGAATACTGTCGCAATTTTTTCGCGGTGGTATAGGAATCTGAACTATAGAAACTTGTGTTATAGGGGACGGTCGACTGTATTATTACTTTAGACATACTTTTCTAAATAATTTTCATTTTTGTTTAAGTGTAACCAGTCATCATTCTCTTCCTTTAGACTCGTTTATTTCCATTAACAGATATGAAATGCTATTAATCTATAACACTTTAACCTATCATCCCAGGCACAACCTATTATCTAATATACAGCAATTTTAGAACAATAACAAAAAAAAATACACTTTTACACAGTGACAGGTAGCTTAAATTCTTCACATCCGTGATGATTTAAAACGGGTTCGCAAACAGTTGCTGCACTTCAAAGTGCTCATAGATTACTGTACTGTAGTGTCTACAATACAAGCGAACAGAATTGACAATAAAATATTTTTAAGACTTAAGAAATATTCAATAATTATTCCAAAATATACATTTTGCATATTCTAACATTGTTAACGAAACTTATTTGTACGATTGCTATAGAATATATTTATTATTATTATTGTATGAATAAATCGAATATAACAAAATGAAAACAAATTCCTACTGTCAATTTACTGTCTGTCAGTCGTTCTTTAATTTCGAGAAGAGGGTAAGACATACGAAGAACGAAACAAGACGTGGAAATCGTTTGTACTGTACGTACGGCCCAGAATAACTATTAATATATACGAACCTTCGTTGAGAAGCGGAAGTCATACTATTTCAATTCAAATATTTCTCCTGAAAGGTATTAGATAGATGACCGGTATTACTCTGTTGTTAAAGGAAAAGTATGACGTACAGCGGCAAGCAACTACAAATTTGAATTGGAGGGTGTATTTTAAACTTTATATGAATTAAAAACATGATAAAAAAATTTGCTACTCGGCATTCTGACGATGTCGCAATAATGATTGCTCGTTATCAACTTTTATTTTTATAACAAACAGTAATTTTTCAGAAAATAAAGACAACGGCCAGGAGTCAAAAATGAATCTTCCGTCTATGTCCTTTTTACCAATTTTGTGGAACATTGTATTTTTTCAACGAGACAAGCAATACCACAATTCACACATCGGCATATGTATGTCATTAATATTTTATTGGATAATTTGACTGTTTATAAATACATAAATATTTTTCGTATTTTTTCAGTTACTTTAAATTTATTGACTGGACTCTCTATGCTATTTCCAAACGAGAAAGTTGTCTGTACAAACATATTTGGATATAAATTTATTTTTTTCTTACATCCAGAATCTGCAAAGGTAATCAAACATGCGTTGTTATGTAATTATTCATTACGAATGGAAATATACGGTAATATGTTTTGTAGGAAGTGTTAAGAAGCAACAGTTTAATCAATAAGAATTCTACATATAATTTCTTTAAGCCACTTCTCGGAAACAACAGTCTTCTGTACAGGTAATGCATCATTTGATATTTAGTTGAAATATCGTTGTTTACACTTTTCTGAATTTAATTAAATAAAGTTCTGACGATAATTGGAGAATTAGAAGAAAATATTTAGCTCCACATTTTCATCTTCGGTATGTGAAAGAATATCAGAATGTATTTATGGAGCATTCAAACGTCTTAGTAGAAAAACTCAAACAATTGCAGACGAATGAAATATTCGATATTTTGGAAAGGATGAAATATTGCACTCTGGATATAATTGCAGGTATTACTCTCTAATGTAAAATATTTAGTTATTTGTCGAAACCGTGTCTTCTTTTTCTTGTTTCTTCTGATTCTATGTCACGACTTGGTGCATTTATAGACACTTGGCAAATAATTCCTACTAAACGGCTATCCAAAACGAATGCTAAACAACTGGGAAAGAAAAATGAACAACAAAAGGCTGGTAAATAAACAAAACGAAAGAAACACCGTAAGATACATACCCTTCCCTTACATCCGTGGCTTCTTTGAACAAGTAAACAAAAGCTTTGAAAAAATAGATATAAAGCTAGCCCCAACCTATAACAACCTGCAAAAAAGAATCCGGAAGACTGTACCCGACAGAAATAAACAACCAGACAAATACAGCACTACCGAAGTCGTCTATAAAATACCTTGCACATGCGAACCCCCAAAAGTATACNCTGGAATGGATGAAATATTGCACTCTCGATATAATTGCAGGTATTACTCTCTAATGTAAAATATTTAATTAGGAATTATAATTATCAATATTTTAATACATACCCATTCAATAAAGTATTAATTTTTCCTACTTCTTCCTCATCACGTAGAAAAAATATGAAATATATTTTAAAAAATAATATGCAGGGTGTGTTACAGTCTCATCCGGAAGTTTTTTTTAATAACTTTTGAACCGCGCGGCTTTCAGCCTTAATTTTTCGTAGGTGGAGCTTTGATCAAAAAAGAATTGTTTTTATAACAAAAGCAAGTTTCTTCAAAACATTTGAGTTTTTTATAAGTGGTTTGATTTGACCTTACTGCTTTGATTTGAGTCCAATAGACTTCTTTCTTCGAGGATACACGAAGAATCAGGTGTTCAAGAATGACCCTATTACACTCAGCAGATGAGAGCATGGAGAGCATCATGAAGGGCATCTGAGATCAGACTTATAGAAATGTCATTGCTAATTTTCAAGAGAGACTGCGCTACTGCATTTCGACAGATGGGAGACATTTCGAAAATATCATGCGTTAATTTTCTTTTTCATCTTTTATCTTTACTGAAAATGTCATTAAAAAATTCGAATTTTCAAAAATGTTATTTAAAAGAAACTTTGTGAAGAGGTTTTGAAACACTTTCTATATGCATCTATATGTCACTGCAAAAAAGTAAGCTACTTAACTTCCTTCAACGAAACCAACAAAGGAATTCAAATAATCTTTTTTTACAACTTAGACGTTTCGCGGTAATTACAGACTTAGTCGTGTAAAATTCTGACACACTGGACGACTTTCTTTTCTGTGTAACTGCCATTTTTATTAACTCTACCGACTTTCTAGCGACAGTAGTTAGAACTATAGCTGACTATAACCAATTTTTCACGACAAAACTGATTACTTTCCTGTTTCGTTTAGTAGAGGAAAAGGTGGGTATTATGGAATCCCTTCATTTCAAACTGATAATAAAGGCAAACTGTAGCAAATTGTGGCTGAACTGCACTAGGCAGACATCCATAGCGAGGGGAAAATCCGTTTCACTTCAGTTAAACGGTTGTCCGTAGTGAATTAGCATATTTGTGTTTTTCGAAATTCGAAAGTTTTCAATGATAAATGAATTTAATTAATTCTAAAATATAAATCGTGCAGTTGTAAATTTACCGGTGCATGTATTGCATTCCAGAGACTTAGGGGTACATGCTTATCTGTGTGATTTTCACGTTTTTTAAAATTTGGTGTTGACAGGAATTAAGTTAACCCAAGATGCGTATGCGTGAAATATGGACCCTATTAGTGCTTTTAATATGGAACCCAACTCCTCTGGGAAGCCAACTCCTTTGATTCCTCTCTTTGCGGGCAGACATTCGTCCGGAGCAATTTGTGAAAAAGACACTAAGTAGAAAGCCAACTCTTCCTGATAATATCGAAAAAGAGCTGCTGGAATATATATTGTTGATGGAGGTCATATTTTTCTATTATAAAAGCATTTTTTCGATAAAATACATCAGAGTAAATGATTTTGTAGTTATTTAACTTGTTTTGTACTTTCCTAATTTTTTTTCGGATACATTAAAGTATACAGTAAGGTTCCATATTACCACCCGGTTTTCCCTGAGCTTACTTTTTGATTTTTTGTAAAGTAGCCTTCGAAGACCATACTTATAGTTATACTAGTGAAAAATCCAATTAGCAACATTTAGTTTAATAGTTACCAGTACTTTTCGCATAAAAAACGTGGCTGTAGTTATGATACCTCGTTTAAAATTCATTACATTGAAAATAGGGTTTTATAATACCTTCACTTCGTCTACTGTTTTCTTTTAGTGAAACTACTTTGTTTTGAGATGCCTTCCCAAAATTGAATATCATTTTCAAGCGACCTATGTTTATTTATTTAAAAACTATAAATATTAATTTATTTCTATGTAGACATAGCAGTAGGAGTTTCTCTACATTTTCAGACTACGAACGATCAAGAGTATATATCCGCAATACACAGGTATGGAAAATTCAATTCCAGATATATTTCTTCATTTTTCAAGTAATATTTACTAAAGTAATATTCGTATTAAATAATATAAAGTTAGTTTATATTTGATGAAATTTTTAAAATGTTCGTGTCAATGTCGATAGAAACAATACGAAACAATCCAAATTTTGATTGTTTATCAATTAACTGAATATTAATAGTTTGTACTGTACATTATAAATGAAGTGTTTTAGCTATACATGCTGATCGTAATAAAGAGTTGTTAGGACAATGTGTACTGAGAAATATCGAGTTTCGAAGATAATACAATGTGTTCATTAAGTATGTGTGAAAGATTTTCAAATTAATTTATCAGTTATAATGTTTCAAGCATAAACTTCATGTATTTCCTACACACGAGACACAATTTGTGACGTGAACGACAAAAGTGTTACAGATCAACTTTCTGCAAAGCATACCGTTGTCGCAATAAATAACTAGTATTTATCCATTTTTGTGTTTTTTTCTTGTTACCTCAGTAATATAGGAGAAGTCTTTATGGTAGCGAAAACTGAACGTATAAATATCCAATCAAAATATAAAAATATACAGTCCAGCCAATTATTTTTAATATTTCTCAAAAATAAATTAATAACGATATGAATAAATTGCAAACCTCCCTCCATTTCTTTTACACAAACATAAAAAAAGTTATACAAATATTTGTGATTTAAAATAAATTTTAATAACTTTTTTTTCAATCCACACGAAATATAATGTGTTATTTTTTATGTGGATTTAATAGTTGACAGTACTTTATTTTTTATCCAAGCTTTAAATTTTTATTAAGTACATTTTGATATATTAATAAACTTATATTATAATTTAGAATTCTGAAAATTTTTCCTGAATGGATAGCAAATCCAATGTACTGGTTTTTCCCGATTTTCTTCATGAGTAAAATAGGAAAAAATTACAAGACAGACGTTGAAATAATTCATCGTTTCGACGAAAAAGTAAACTCGACTTGTGAATAGAATTTTTGTTTTTATTTAAGTAATTAATGATTTAATTTAATGCGTAGGTGTTCAAGAGAAAAAAAGAAAATTTTGTGAAAAAAATGCAGCAGCAACGTTCCTTAGACAAAGATGCACCACATGAAGAAACCAAAGATGAAAACAAACCAGCGTATTATCGATTCACTGCTGGATCTTCATGTCAAACAAGGTTTAATATCGAAAGAAGACGTTATCAGAGATATGGAAGGCGCTATTTATGCGGTAGGCAGAATTTATTGAAGATGTAATCTGAAATAATTACACAATCGTGCACGCATGTATTTCAATGATATTATATTCATTATTCTGAAGTAATTTTTTTCTAAACAACGTATTAAAATATAAATAATTCTACAAACGATCCAATTCAACTAAAAATGATGGAAATAAAGCCAAGTGTTTATTTATAACTCAAATGTGAGTTCGAAGTCCAATTCTATAAACAGTTAAAGATGTTTGTGAAATCATTACATTTCATTTATAATTAATTATTATAGTAAATAATATTTGTAATTTCGGATTAATTTATAATTTTTTAACAATCTTAAATCTGAAGTTTTGAAATCTGAGTTTTAATTTTGTCCTTTTATACCCTTATTATGTGAAATGTCACAGAAACAAATTTTGAATATAAAACAAAAGGTTTATTAATTACTGTATAATTTCTCTATTTATATACACGCAGGACAGGTATAATTTTGAAAAATTAAAAATATTTATCTACTGGTGATTTTTAAACATTATTATTATGATTATTATGTATAATTAAAGCGGGAAAATCAAGTGAAAAGGGTAATCGTACCTTATTTGTTCGACTTCATATCGAATGCGGTTTCTCTAATAATTATGTACAATAGTAGTTTGTAAATTTGTGACTCAGTTCTCTGGGTTATTATCTGTTATCAAATTATTTTTTCGAGTATTAATTAATCAAATTCCTTTAATAAACACGTTTGAATGTATTCAGAACAAGTAATGTCCGAGATGATGACCGAAATATATAGTAGCCCGAAAGAATTCAAGTCTATAATAACAGAATAAACAAAAATGTTATATAACATTTATATGTTTATTTAATTTAATGTTATATAACAAAAACATACGTCGTTATATTACGAAATGTAATGGGTTGTTTAACTCAGACAATTCAAACTGGACAATGTGCATTTAGCTTTTTTCGTTTGACTAATTACACAGTTTGTGGACAATTTAACGTTTATATCGTCCATCGATCTAAGATATTTTGTTTATAGAATTAATCTGAAAATATCGAATGTGGGAGAAAAGAATTTTTAGTTTCATTGAGGAACTGAAACTTCGTTTAAAAAGCCGTACATGTATAATATTCTATTCTGTTAACCGTGTTAATATTATAAACAGAATTTTTAAAATAAATTTTAATAACTTTTTTTTCAATCTCTCTCCATTTACGACGAACTTCTCATCTATGCTGCTATGTGCTGTACGGTACATTATTAACAGTTCACTTTTTTAAAATTAAGGCTAATTTCTAATAATTACGTTTTTCGCGAAAAGTAAAAGAATTATCCTCCCTTCTACTAATATGAGTTATTTTCGATTTCATTCATGAATACCTGTATTTCGGAAGAATCGAAATGACGCCTTTTCTTCTCTCTTTTATATTATGACGGAAACTTACGCCGGATACAATTGTCGCCATTTGAAAGTTTTTTTAACTGTTTTCTTATTGGAGGAAACAGAAAACTCTCGAAATCAAATCATTGATATTTTGTGATAAATAGTACAAAGAACTATGTGAACTGCTTGCTGCAAGGAATGTGATTGCACAATGTATACTGGTATGTAATGAGTATGAAAAAAGACAGGTATTCGTGCATGCCAAATCCTAATTTTACTAGTTTATTTTACAGTATTTAATTTACTACAAATATAAATTATATAGAAAAAAATTTTACATTTTATTTTACCGTATTTTAATATAAGGGTCACGACTCAACTGCCCACGCGATGTCATGGACTCTTTATTTCCTGGGAAGATTCCACGAAATACAAGAGAATGTGTATCTAGAATTGAAAGAAATTTTCAAAAATGATATGAATAGAGATATTACTATCGATGACCTGACGAAAATGACGTACTTGGAATGCGTAATTAAGGTAACTTCTTAATTTCTTTAATCCATTCAAGGATTAGTTTTATACATTACAATTTTCAGGAGTCGATGAGAATCTATCCTCCTTCTCCTTTTATTGCAAGAAAAAATCGTTCGGAAATGAGAATAGGTAATTTTTCATATTACGAAATTTGTTTTTTCAATAATAAGATTTAACATTAGTTATTGACCTGATTCATTAAATCGTTCCATTGAAATAGGTAATTACGTGTTGCCCGCAAATTCGACTCTTGTCATAAGTATCTATGGCATTCATCATAATTCTTCTGTTTACGAAAATCCCGAAGTGTTCGATCCAGACCGTTTTCTACCTGAAAACTATAAAAATCTCCATCCTTATGCATTTCTGGCATTTTCAGCCGGTCCACGAAATTGTCTCGGTAAGTGATTAGTGAATAAATACAAAAACAAATGTGGTGTTTCGAATGTGGTGTATTGTGATTAAAGTGTATATTGGAAAATTGGTTGCTCAACAGTTGCGCCCCGAGCAAACTCAGCCACCTAGGCAAATGACTTTAATGTCGTTCATTTAAAAAAATTAGCAACAATATAAAACACCAATGTAAAATAGAGTATGTAATTTTTATTCAAATACGTAATAAAACAGCATAGTACAGAATTCTGATGAAAAAACATTTATTTTTTCATTATTTATTGTAATTTATGCATTTACTTTCGCCATGCCGCCCCCCGGAATTCAAGCGCCCTGGGCAATCGCCTAGTTAGCAATAGCCCGCCGATATAGACGAACTGGGCGATTGCCTAGGCAATCGCCTAGCTCGTCTATATGGGCGGGCTGGCCCTATTGCTCAAAACGCGAACTACATAGCAATCATTTGGCGTGATGTATGGGCTGTAAGGTGAATGAAACAGAATCAATGGCCTACTTCTCTGAGGTCATCATTTTTATATGTGCTGGCGTGATATCGTGGCGGTATCTTAATGTATCAGTTTTTAATCAAAGTTGTTTGATCGACATTTAAATCGGAGAAATGTAGTCGTGCCACGAATGAAGAAAAACCCCAACGAAATTTTTGGGACATCGTCGTCTTTAGCGGGTACCACCGACTATTACGAACATACGGTACAATACACGTTGCCGAAAATATCTTGTTAAATAATTATACTTAAAAAAAAAATGATTTTACAGCCAAAACTAATATGCCACGATACAACGGGCCAAAGGCCACTTAATTAATGGTGTAAGCATACAGTAAAAGGTGCAGTAATAGTTTTCCCGCTAAAATCGTTTTATTTTTAAGATACACGTTGTAAATACAGTAATACCCCGAACTTACGCGATAGGTGGGACCGAGCGGTAACCGCGTAAGTCGGGGTATAATTTCACATATAAAAACATACAAATAATTTTTAATTGGGGCCGGAGACTAAACAAAACAATAATTTAGAAAAAAATGTTTAATAAAATCTTAGATAATATATTTGTATAACAAATTAGGCCTATATTATTTTACAATTTTTTACATTTACTTGATTATCACGCCATAATTTTAACATTGTTTCCATCTCAGCGATAATGCCGTGACGTTTACGAATGATGCTTGAATTTAAAGATTGAGCATTTTTCACAGCTTCGAGAATTTTTCCTTTGCCTTTTATAATTGTTCTGAGCAACAATTCCGGTAGAACAAACTTCTTTGCCAATTGACAAGTTTTCATTTTTGTATCGAAGTCTTTAATAATGGGTACGTTCGTAAAGTCAAACAAGTTAAACGCGTTAGTAACGAATCGTTCGAAAAGTCTAACGAAATAGAAATAACGATAACGTCATTCTCGTTTAACTCGTTCGGCTTTACGACCATATCCAATGTTAACTTTACATTCCAAAGATAAAGTTTTTCTTTTCTTGTTTGATGCAGAAGAATCAGTTCTACTTCGTTTGGATGGCATAGTAGAGTCTCTCGAGTCTCCGTAGATAAACAACCACAGAAATAAATAACACAAAATAAATTGTAGCTATGTGTCGATTCCGCGCGACACATCCGAACATGTAAGCTGAACAATAGTGTGGGGAGAGTGAGTAATCAAGGGTTGCGTGGTGCTCAAACAAAAGACGAATCGACGAGATTTGAAAATCGCGTAACTCCGGGTTCGCGTAAGTCGGGGTAGCGTAAGTCGAGGTATTACTGTACCTTAGTTAAAAGTAGTTTTCCAGTCGAGGGAAAAGCGTTTTGTTCGTTTGGAGTTAAAGGATTTTCTTTTACAAAGTATTTAATGACCAATTTCACGAAAATCGCTTAAAGGCATTTTGTATAGTGGCGTTAAATAACGTCGATGGCCGACAGGTAAAAGTAAAGTTACAATTTGTTACGCAAAATTACGGTGGTCTAATAAAGTTTTTGGAGAATAGGCGTTAGATTATTTCTACAGACTGATATTGGACATAGGGGACACACTACCTATCGGCGCTCGTTTCCAAACCATCAATGGCGTTTTCCGGGGATATGTAATAAACCAATAATAGCTAGTACTTGTCTATCTGCAGCATGGTTTGTAAATGAGCTTTGTATATTGTTTGTGTCTGCACAAATTCCTAGAGCTTTTAAAGCTGCTTTGTTTGTGCTGGCACCATTACAAACTATTGCATTGACTTTTGCACCACACTGTTCTAAATGAATAATTGCTTGCAAAATAAGTTTTGCAATAGTAGAACCTGAGACAGCTTTTTGAACAGAATGTGCCAATACATTGTACCCAAGTGGCAAAGTGAGGTTTAAACATAAACACTAGGCCATGATCACCCGCTGTAAATTCACTCTGTGGCAATACAGAATTGTCACCACAATCAACAAGTGCAATCAACTAAAGAAAAAAATTTGATGATAAAAATTGCCAAGTGCCTGAAAATAAATACAATAATAATTTGTGTTTGAATTAGGCTACTACTAATAACTACTAGCACGGTTTCAAAGTACCAGAAAGTGCAATCATTTCACCAGTAGGTTTTGAAAGGTCTATATGTTTCTGAAGTGTGATTTCATTAAAAATTAAAACTCCCTGGCATTCTGTTTGTTGAATAGTCTTCAATTTTGTCTTTAAAATAACAAAAAGATCTTCATCAAATCCAAATTTGGAATTGATGCCTCTGATATATTGATGCAGTGTAGACTGACAGGGTAAAGGCAAGTAATCATTATTTCTCAAAAATTCATAGACAGATGGTGACCTAGTTTTTAAAAGCACAGTCAAGTAACCAATCAAGGCCATATCACATACCCTTTTTGCTTTTCATATGGCATGCTTTCAGCATGCGCTCTATTACAAGTTTCTGTCCCGGTGGTAAGGAATCAAGTTTATCAGCCGACAACTGTTTTATTTTAAGTTCAGTATTTTCTTGATGAAGCTTGAGATTTTCTGTTTGAAGAGTTTACAGTTTCTTCCTATAGATCATCTTTTGCTTTTTGCACCGATATAAATTGTTTTTGACTTTTAACAATTCAGACTGCAAAGCAGTGATTTTATTGACATATAACAGCTCAGGATGCCGTGTAGTTGCTTCTTCAGATGTGGAATGTTCTTCTATTTCCTTTTCTACAGTTGTTACTTGGAAGTTGTATCATGCAAATTCAATAATTGATAAAAAAAAATATCAGACAATTAATCTTAAAGTATTCATAAGGAAAGATGGGCCGCAGAGAGATAGACCTCAATGAATCACAGTGGATCTCACAAACCCAGCTCAATCTTTAGTTAACATTTTTTAAATATAAAATGTTCCTTAAATATAGATAAAATTTAATTTTATATTAAAACACAGGGTCCGAGAGACGCACTGCGACTCAGGCAAGGGTAAAAAATTCTAATGTAGTACTTAGGACAATTAGGGAAGTTTGATGGATATGCATCTGACGTTAATGCCCAGCGATCTCGTGGAATTTCTACTTTCTCTCCATTTATAACATGGGAGAAGGTTTTTAAAATAAATCTACTCGCAAAATGTACGTAACATTTATTTGTTAGCATCTTGTCGTCTCGTGGAATGCATCGCATCCACTCCTCATTCTTATCGCTAGGAACACGGAATAAATGTCTCTTTTTCGTTCGATGACTTATATCCTGCCTCCCATTCTGGCACAAAGCACGTTGGCATTTTTTATGTAGCTAAAAAAACAATTATTATAGGTCAAAATCACTGACTTCAGTATATACCTAGCAAGAACAACGCTCTTCTCCCAACAGTAGCGCCAACTTGAAGCAAATATTGTCTCTAGCTAAGTTTGAACTATTAGTCGAAAGAACAGTTAATCTACCGACTCTGCCTCTACGTGATTTCCGTACCACTCTGGTCTGCAATATTTTTGTATAAAGAGTTCAAATGTTGATTGAACTGAACTATGGTGCGCTTGGAACCTGTTAGAAGTAGACAGGTGTTAAAAAGCCAACTTTCAAAGGAAACTGTTTTAACTTCAAAGACTGTGAGACGGTGGAGCATGCGTGGAAGTACCTGTATGAAAAATTTGAACGAATTCAGCCAACCGCATTAATTTGATATATAAAAAGTTTAAAGTCGAGCATCATCGTTCTAACGTACCAATTTTTAGAAGTCAGTTTTGTTAAACACCTGAGACAGGTCTTTGTGAAGGGCGAAAACGTTAAAAAATTACATTAAAGTTCAATTACTGGTTAAAATGGTTTTACGTGTGATAGTTTATATACTCACTTCAATAAGTTGAGAAAAAGACTGTTATAATGTTTAAATTATAACGACAGATTATATAAGAGAAAAAGAGGAAAAAACCCTTTATCTAAACAACGAAACACATAATGTAAACAACGAGTCCCTGGGTCAATGTCTAACCAAAAGGCAGAAATCTGACACAAGCGCTGATAAACAGTCGATCTAGGAATAACTATTTCAAAAAAGGGAACGACATGATGGATAAAAAAACATCACGTATGAAATTTAAAGTTTCAAAATGACAGAAATCAAAAACAACGAGGTAAATTATGAGCGCAAGTCTTATGGTTCTATCAACAATATCCAGGCACAGTTGACGAAAAAATGTCAAATAGACGCCTTGAATCGGACCTTTCTCGTGACTCGGTAGGACTCGGTTTTCACCTGGAAATATAGGACAGACCAATCGGAAAGTGAGGAAGGGGACGAGGGGCAAATCAGAAATACGAATAGCGGGAGAAAAACTACAAAAATCGGAAATTCAAGGTCTAAAGACAGTCTTCCTCAAGATTAAGCTCAAAGTCTTGCATTTTTAACTGCGTTGTGTCCCAGGCAACCTCTCAGGACCCCATAGCATTTCCAATGATCATCCGCATCCGTAGAGATCCTGTCTCTTCCGCCCTAAGGCTATGACCGATACAACGAACTTTTGCCTCTCAAAAGATAACCGAGATTTTGAACTGCCAAACATTGAAGTAAACATAAATGCTACAAAATAAACGGCTTTTAACTTCGTAAAACACTTGTCATCATTTGTCTCATCCGCCAAACCGACAGGCAAACATCTCTTAGGTTCATCCTGAAGCGGGATTAATTTATTCTTTCCCTAAAGATCGGCGAGGTTACACTGGTGTCCGAGAAGTGAGAGTTTAAGTCCTTAATCTCCAGCAGGTCGGCGAGCTTACAATAATAACGGAAACAGTCAAGCAATAAATAGTACCGAGATACCTATTCATTTAATTTCTGCGAGAATATATGCAAAACGTAAAACATATGTAAGAGAAAAAAAGAAAAAACCCTTTATCTCTTTAACCCAGGGCTGTGGAGTCGCGTAAAAATGTACCGACTGCAACTCCGACTCCGACTTTTCCTTGCCATCCGACTCGGACTAGGGGCAGACTTGTTACCGAAAGAGATCCGGAAATTCTGATGTCATCACTTGACCTCAGAATAAAATATTCAATAAATAGAGTGGTAATAAAGATAGAGCGTAGAAACTTTTTATTCCAAAGCTAAAAGACTTCTCTAAGAAATATATAAATATGTCAGGAACCATGAGTTAC